CAAATGTCAGAATGGGCTGACCACAAAGAAGCAACAAAACTGGCAACTGAATGTGTGGATTTTTTGCCAGAAAGCCCAAGATGGTCCTGGGACAGCATCCTCTTGCTGATAGTGTGAGCCACGTGGTTGCCATAAGGGGAAGTACAGCTACAAACATTTGGATCATGGCATTCAATTGTGAGGCAGTTTGTGGTGGGTGTGGTGAGGAGCCAACACCAGCCTAAAATGTGATATTACACACAGATCAAGTCTAGGCACTTAGAGCCTGGCAAATTTAACACTCTACTTTCTGGGAGTAAACAGAGGTAGAATTGTCTGCTTGGAGAAGGGTTTTTTTAATGGCTCTTTGCCTCTTTTCTTAATGCTGCTAAGCTAAGACAGAGGTGGTTTTCTTGTACCTGGTTTCCTAAACTGGTAAGTAGACACAGGAATAATTCCTGGTACCAGTTTTTTTTAATTAAGTTGAGCCGTTTCTTCCCACCAGGAATTTTCTTTTGAAAACAGAAGTACTGGGGTTGAATGAGACCCAAATGGCCATGCCCTGCCTTAAAGATCTGTGCAAATATAATGTAGGTTAAACTTGTTCTGTAATATATCCACTGCATCTGCAGCAAAAGACTTTTTCTGCCACACAGAACAGGCCGCTTGAGAGAGGGGAAAAAAATTGTACTCCTGTGTGTATGCACACAACACAGGTACTGTTATCGCACTCTGATTATGCTCACAGTGAGAGTTTCTTTCCCCCCGACTTCATCGCCTGACACGAACCAGCCTCCTCCTTCCCTTCTGCCAGTGGGAACCTGAGTTTGATCTTCAAATGGAGCAGAGATAATTTGAGGGCCAAGAAAATTCCTTTTTGTGCATTCCAAGCCAGGCCTTCCGCTAACACCCAACAGCAACCGCAGCAGAAAAGAAGAAAATTGTGTGCGTTGGTTAAATGGGAAGAGAGGGGGAAAATTAAGAATGCACCACTGTATGGGGCTGCAATTGAAGCATGCATAAATATTGGATGCTGCTCTGAGCCAGCCCACCCCCTACATTAGCGGAAAAGATGAAGTCAGATCTCAGGCAGGGGAGGCACGTAAACAGAGATTTTGTTTCTGAAGGAGCAATTCCCAGAGCTAGACTCAGATCACTGGTTCAGGATCGGCTTTTTGCAAGGTGGAGGCTGAATACAGACATAACATAAAACTGCTTGGAAAGCTCTCTGGCCATCATTAGGCTAAAAATATACTTACTCCTTCTCCAAAGCTACATTCTGCATAGGAGGAAGGTTAATTCTGCATATTTGCAGCCCAGATTAGGCTGTGATGGTCACTGATTGGTTGTTGCCTGTGATGTCAGTATATTAGGTTCTTTCCTCCGCTCCACCCCTTGAAGCAGTTTCGCAACTTAAAAAAAAAGTTTCCACTTATTTCTATTGTTGAAGGCTAAACATATAAATAGATCAACAATATATATGCAGTGTTCTCTAAAATTGGCATTTTGTTTTTATTTTTACTTCGTTTTGTTTTGAAAGGAAAGGTTTGCAGGCCATCTGATATTTAATCCACTAGCTACACTTGTTTTTGTGTAAAAGGTTCAAGGTCTGAGTTGGTAGGATTCAGAAGTATGTAGAATCTGTATATGCAAATATAGAAATTATTACTAGGATTTCACAGAAGGTAAAGCCAGCCAAATAATTTTTAATCCAAATAATATCAAATAAATAAATGCTTAGAGTAAATTTCACACCCTGACCTAGGTCAACCCAAACAAATGAGAAACGCCTTCATCCCCTTCAACTTAAGATGGTAAGATGACCAGGTGTCCTCTTTTACAGAGGGCAGTCCTCTGTCTGAAGAGATACCTGTCCTCTATTTTGAAGGTGTCCTCTATTTGAGGACGGCCCAGTCCCAAGTCCAGCATAAAGATGAAAATCCATCCAGAGGAATAATTGGGCCTTGTAGTTGCCCATCCTTAGCACCTGCTGTAGTTTTCCCCTATATTGTGAAATGCATTGGATTTCTCTTTAAATTAGAATACACCTTTCTAAATTGGCATTTATATGTATAAATGCGTGTGGATTATTATGCACATTCATGTCCTCCCTTTTTTGCAGTTTGTAAATGACCACCCCATCAGCAACGTTTTATATTGAGACGAAGGAGGGAGCATCGTATGGGGCTTGCTTATGTTAAACGTTTCCCCGCTCCCATGTTTGCTAGAGGGGGCCTTCCAGTGGCGTGCAACTGCAACCAAAAATAGCCTATCTGAACCAAGAGTGGGTGTTCACTTTTGCCCTCTTTTTTTCCTTTCTTGGAGATGCATGTGAGAGGAGGAGGAAAATAGCAATTTGGAGAAAGGGGTGGTTTTCATCTGGATGACAGAAGGGGGAAGGGATAACCCTCTATTATGAATTATGAGCTTCGAATTATGAGCTTCTGTCAGCTGTTACTTAAACTTTAAAAACAGCTCTGAAATGCATTCACCCTTCCATATTTACTCCCACTGCCAATACCCAAGTGTTTGCTTTGCTTCCTTTGACGGATTTGCTTAATATTGCCACTGCACAAAGTTATAAGACGTTCTTTTTGGCCTGGGTCATGCTTGCAGAGAAGCACATATTTGCAGTCGTGCTTTATTATTAATTTTTTTACTTTGCTTTGCTTTATTAAATCAAAGCTGTGCAGCACTATTGCCTTTTTCCTTCTTGTGCAGGGCAGCTTACATAGCTCCCTTTCAACCTCACAACAGCAACCCTGTGAGGTGGGTTCAGCTGAGAGGGAGCGACTGGCCAAAAGCCACCCAGTGACTTTCCTGGCTGAGTGGAGATTTGAACCTGCATCTCTTGGGTTTCCAGTCATGCCTTTGCGCCAAGCCTCCCTTTTGGGTTAAGCCCACACACTGTGCCCTTCCATCATTGTCCTTGTCACCTTGGCACTCCTGCACAGAGACTGGGAGCTTGGTTGGTCAGAGGAGGACGTGGAGCTGGGCACCTGCAGAATGCTCTCCGAATGGGTTTTGAGCCCGCTAAATTGAGGACAGGAAGCCTGACCATCCAGTGGAATCCAGGTTCCCATGGCAACACCCTGTTACGTTTCCTGGGTGACAGAGATGCTCCAAATTAGGTCCCCTTCACAGAGTGTGGAATCTATCAAACTGCTCCATTTACCTGCTTCATTTTTCAGTGGTACTTGGTGGACAGGAGGAGAAGCTTCTCCAAGCCCCCCCCCCTTAATAACTAGAATGATCATCATCATCATCAAACATGTAAGTTACCATTGTTTACTTAGCCAGCTGCGACTTTGGGAAGCCCCAGCTGACCAAGTGGTGGCAGCAGCCGGTTGTGGGTTATGTGGTGTGAACAAGATGACATCACAATGTTCCCTAGTGAAAGCGTTGACATCACTGAGGAGGGATAACAAAGAGGCAATCAGGAAGCACTGCCTTGATCTCAGTGTGCAAACACACTACCTTTGGCTCTTCCCAGAATTTCCTTCAGAACAGAAGTTGAGAGCCTGTGACACTCCAGATCTCTCTGGACTGCAGCACCCATCCACCCCAGCCAGTATGGGCCATGGTCAGGGTCAGTGGCAGTCAGAGTCCAGCAGCATCAAGTTTCCTACCCTGCTTTCAGTCAGGGAGCAGACCAGATCTTTGAGTGGGAAGAGGCCCTGTTACTTTTGGCTCAGTTGGCAGCCTTATTCCCAAAGCTGCTCACAAGAAAATGATAAAAGGCACAATAAAACACCACCCTTAAAAAGCATAATAAAAGCACTGGGTTCCATTTTAAGAGGTCGCAATTCAGTCCATAAAAAGGCAACATTCAGGCATCAAGGATCTGCAGCCACTGCCTTTGCAGCCGCAGTATGGAAGGGCCCTGCGTGATGCACCATGACAACCCCAGGAGTTCCCAACACGGAGAAATACCTCATGTCCTCCGTCAGATAAAAGTTGCAGTGCCCCAGGAGTGTTACCAGCAAGTGCAGTGGCACATTGTTTGCAAGGAGGGTCAATGGAGAGGCCTCCAAAGCAGCATGCATGCCGATCTTCTCTGTACTTTCCTGGGGTACAGTCGGGTGTGTTGCTTGGAGCCATGCTGTGAATCAGCCCCGTGTTCACAATCCCTTGGGGAAGGATTGTTATTTGTGTCCATGTGGGTGTGTAACAGCACGACTGACAGTTGGTCTTACCAATATTAATGTCTTGTGCTGACTTAAAACGTCTTTTGAGAAGAAAAGTGAGGTGTTCTTGTTTTTGGCAGATGGAATATTTGTGGAATCTACTTTGGGCAATGGGAAGCTTGAACCTAAAGGTCCAATGTGTGGAGTAAAGTGCAAAGAGGTGGTTCAGGGAACAGTGCTTATTACTTTGGCTGCTGCATGAACCGAGCACAAAGATGGGCTGTGTACGCATGTGCCATATAGCAGGGATTCTCACCGCCATGTTTTTATTAAGTGGGGAAGTCTTGCTGTTACTAGAGACTCCTGACCTGGTCCTCCATGATTCTGCAGATGACCATGCCCCCTTCCCATGGCTTTGCCTCCTTTCCCCCAACTCCTGATAATGTGGTGATTCCCTGGCTTTTCTGCATAGGTTTTTACCGCACTGAACAATGCTGAGATGCCTATTAATTGCCGGCAGTAAACACTTCTAGCTAAAGTAGGCTGTGTTTTTGTGTGTTTTGGCCCTGCCCAATGCTGAAATGCAACCCCAGAGAGCTGGCCTGCAGCTAAGTTTAGCCTTTGTGCTGAAAGAGGTTCAGCACCCCAAGACAGAGGGATAGGTCTGAAAAAGCCTCCTGACCTATTTCAGCTCATCCAGCAATCAAGTGGGGCATCCCAACCTCTCTTCTTCCTACCTTTAGTCAAGGCCGGTTGCCTCTCCAGGCTGTGCCCAGACATGGTCCTCTTCAAATGGCAAGCCCTTCCTTTTGTATTGACCTCTTACTCTTTTTCTCTCTTTCCTCTACCCTGCCGTCCCTTCCTTCTCCCCACGAACAACTTCTCCTCACCCAGAAATTGATGAAGACCATCTCCCCAACCCTCTGTTGAAGGTAGGTGCCCTTTGCCTCTGCCATAGGAGATGGAGCAGTGCCAAAAGCCGGTGAGCCTCTTGCCACACTGTTGCTCCATGGGAATGGGGGAAAGATGCAGTCCAGTTGGCTTGAACCCTGGAAGGGGAAGATGGCAAGGTGCAGAGGGACTGCAGGGTTGCCATGTTCACCAACATTATGTGTTCATCAAGTGGTGATGGACACACCATCATTTCTCCACGCCATGTGTACCCATCAGAAGCTGCATTCCTTGGAGGTCTTGCTGAGGGCCTAATTATTGTTCATGCGTTCATTTGTTTAAAGCAATTCTATCCCAATCATTCAGAAAGGCTTCCGGGGCAGTTTGCATAAAACCAAGGTAGTCCCAAAAGGCTGCAGGCTAGCAGTCCACAAAGACACGACACAAAAGGCCAAAGTGGTGGGGAGGGAAGAAGAACAAAGCGAGTGCTCTTTCAGCTTCTTGGAGTGGCTGCTGCTGGCAAGACCTGATGGAGCTGGCCTTGTTTTTTTGCAGGGCTGGTGGAATGCCCCCCCCCCATCACATAGCATCTTATTGCTTTCTTTAAGTGGCAAGACCCAGATTAGATGGTGATGTTTTGCCTGTATTTATGTATGGACTGCCTTTGCAGTTTTTCACCTTTCTTCTCTTTGCAGCCAGGGCTATCAATGTCACCAAGGCAGAGGAAGAAGGTTTCTCGCACCACCCCCACCATGAAAGGTAACAGTGGTGATATTAGGGACTAAGGACCCACTGACTGCACCAAAGGATGGGGGCCCGTGATAGAGTTTGCCACAAACTAGTGAGTGCATAATTTCATCTGATGAGAGTTCTGGCCCTTCTCTGGAGCCTGGAAAGGACAGGGCCTCTCCCCCAACACTGCATTGATTGAGAGGTCTCACAGCTTTCTGAGCCTTGGAAAAGCTTGGCAACATGTGAGGGAGATCCCAAGTTCTTGCCTGTGCTTGGCAGAAGAATGGGGGTCACTCCGTGCAACTCACTGCAGGGGAGGATGGGCACCTGCCCTTTCCATCTCCAGCCCTGGTTCTCCCTGTTGGACTTGGGCAGTGCTTGGAGCGTCACCAAATTGAAGCAAACCAATGACAGAAGCAGTAAGTCACACACATTTTGACTGGCCTCTTTGGACCAGAGCTTGGTACATCTTTCCATTCAGAGCACTGAAAGCCTACAAATAAAGTGGTTCTTCGTAAAAGAACATATGTTGTTTCCTGCCCATTCCTTTACTTGGCAGTAAACCAGAAATGCCATCCTGTGATTAATGACATGTGCATTAAAAGAGTTTAGGATTTATTTCTAAATGAATATCATAGAATCATCATACTGGTTGTTATCTTCATCGAAGCCATTCCTGTCCCCCACCATCTGGAGTTGAGCAAGGGCCAGTTGTGTGTAAACAACCCCTGACAGATGTTAATGTGTGATCTGTTTTCACAAATGTTCAACCACAACATAGTTGCAGAAGTTCTGAGTCAGCATTCATGGAATAATCAACCTTGGCTGGGACTGTACCACTTTAGGCAGTAGGTCAGGATTGTGTGTTGGAGACATGTAGAAAATCAACATGGGGAAGAGGGAAAACCAAGTCTAGCCTAGCCTTCTGCTTGATAGCTCCTTGCACTGAGTGGTTAGTGTGTGGTTGGGTTGACATGGGGCGTGTTCACACTTAGAAGACCACAACCCCAGTCTGGTCTAACATGGTAGAGTCACCACCAAGATACACTGTGGTTATTCTGAGTTCATGGACTAACTCTAAGACTCCTTAGCTTTATATCTTCTTCTCAGCTTTGTAAACTATTCTCTTCTCTTCTGTTCCCTTTTCTCCCTCCTCTTCTTTTCTCTGTCTCTTTCCCTGACTTCTCTCTATATGTTAAATATGTCCACTTCTCCATTGGTCCTTATCAATTTTCCACTGAACCACTCTATCTTTTATATTACTTTCCATTCTCGGCAATTTGCGTACCTTTTTTCAAAGTGCTGCAGAACATTCAGCATTGCAAGAATACATCTCTCAGAGGGTCTCAGGGAAGCAGAGTTCAGCATCCAAGAAAAGAGAGTAAAAATAAACTGAAAGTCAATGGGTTAGTTTCTAACGCTGGAGCGGATGAACTTGTGGTGATGGAGAAACTCCACCATACAGGAAACAGGTTCAAATTCTGGCCCAGATTCAAGGTCAACAACCACTTGTCAGATAGGAAGAAAGAGCACTTTGGGACAGGAGTGAGGCAATCATAGTCTTGAGCCTGGTAGGAAGCTCAGAGAGGGACAGGAAAGCGCTTGGAAGACTGACATGCCCGTCTCGGCTGTCCCTTCCTTTCAGTTTCCAAGGCATCCTTAGGTTCTCTGCAGGGATTGCTGAACGTCCCTCAGTAAAGAATAGCAGGTTTCTTTTTGCGACAGCACTTTCAAAAGAATATTTTAAAAATTGTATATAGGATATTTCTCTTGAAGTTCAAACTTCTCCTGGGTTTCTCTCCCCATCCCATTCCACCGACCCCACTTTGCAGAGCTCCAGATGATGGTTGAGCACCACCTCTGCAAGCAGCAGGCAGATGAGGATGATGGCAGCACTGGGAACCAGGAACAGCACAGCCCAAGCTGCTGCCCTCACACTGGCTCAGAACCTGGACACAGTCCCGGGAGTTGCCCTTTGGCCCAAGCCCACACTCAGCTGGAGTCCCAGCAGAATGAACACGCTGCCCTGGAGGAACGTGAGTACACTAGCTGCTTACAGAGGGCGTTTGCTATGGGTACGGTCAGGTCTCGACTGGGGAATGCATCCCTTCCAATCAAGCAGAAGGCTTCTTTCAATCCCAAGTTGCTGCAGCAGGCGGGGCATGACTTCTGTGCAGGGAAACCATGTTGACTCTTTGATTGTATTAATGATCTGCATCTCTGTACCATCCATCGACTGAAGTTCTTCTGCGGGGTTTCACAAAACAAACGAGAACACCATGAAATACAAGCACTTGGTAAACTGCAGTATAAAAATCCCAGGTTTAAAACCAATGTAGTAAATTAAGAAAAAGCTAGAAGAAATTCAAATATCTCAACAGGTTCTAGACTAAACTCCTAGGAAAAAACCTTTAAAACCCTTTTTATTTTAAGCAGGGGTGGGTGAACAGCAGCTTTTCAGATACTGCTGGGTCACAGCTCCCATCATCCCCAGCCAGCATGGTCAATGGTAAGGGAAGGTAGGAATTATAGCACAAAGTCTGCAAGATACTACGTCGCCTGTCCATGGGAATAATATATAAAACAGCCCTTCAGATTCCTGCAGATGTCACATTATGTCCCATGTCTTTTTCTCCTGCCCACTTTTATTTATTATTATAATTTCAAATGCTAAATACATATTTATTAATTATTAGATTTATAGCCTCCTTTTTTTCTTACAAACTCAAAGTGGCTTACTCAAATCATCCACCCTACTAAGCACAAAATTATTGTTAAAGTATTACTATTTTTTAAAATAAAACTCAAGTACGAGACAGAGTCATTTCCCTTGTGTACTGTATCTGGTAATCTATCTGTTTGGGTGATTTCCAAATCCTTAAGTAACTATTCTCTAGAGATAATTGGATATGCAATTGAAACATTTGTTAGAATCTTGGCTTGGCCCTGATGCTTTTACAGCTTCAGAGCTGCCTGTGATCTTAGAAATATTGCTTGAGGACAAACAGTTCACTGGCGTACAATTCATGTACATAAGTATCTATTATTGGGGAATAAATAGGATGCCCAGGGTCTCAACTCAGAATGGAATAATAAAGTGGAGCATCCCAGTCAATGGAGTGCTTCCTTGTTATCCACTTCACAAGATGCTGTGGATCTCAGGCTTAGCTTAATTCAACAAAAATTGACGTTTTGAGCATGCTAGATGACGTAACATCTCCTTGACGAGGGCTTAATTATTCGTAATCAGACAATTGCTGGAAGTGCAGTGCTGCAAACACCTCTCTTCTTCATATGTTTTGGCAGTGCCCAGTGGCTGCTTGCTTTGGGGAGGAGAGAATAACTCAGATAAATCTTGTGATGGAAAGTGCTTTAATATTTAAGGATACACATTATTTTTAACTTCCTGTCCATCTCTTGGAATTTAATGCAAGATCAGTGTAAATGGATTCTCTGCACCCTCCTGACAACTAAAAGAGGAATTTAACAACATTGGAAGGATAAATGGCCATTTGCAATAACAAAATGACCAGCGGATTTAATGAGTCTTTCAATTTTTGAATGGGTGGTCCTTTAGCATAATCTGCAAATGGATAAATATAGGGATATTTCAGGTGCCTTTGTTGAACTCTATGCATAATCATTCTCAATAATGGTAATATGTTCTGCTACATACTAATATATAAAGAGATAACATGCATGTAACTTTTTTGGAGATCTATGGATCTATGGATCTTTTTGGATTTCTCTCAAAAAATCTAATGGTTTAATCCTTCTTTTTCTTTTCTGGTGTGGCATGTTTGTTTTTGTATCCATCATATTCTTTGGGCTCAGCAACCTGCACTCTGATCCATATTCAAAATATAACAAAACAGTAAAAATTCTGTAGATTAAGGATTCTTACATTTTTCCAGCATCTCACATCTATTAACCAGTTGGTACTCAGATCCTTAATAGTCTTTTCAATAACTTCTGGCAAACAGTTTAGCAAGCTATGGTTTGATATATTGTCTATCTTAATCTTCATTATTATATACATACGGTATATTGCAGAAGTATTCACCCCCTTTGGCTTTTCCAGATTTGTTGTGTGACATCCCGAAACTGAAATGGATTAAATGGGCATTGTTGCTATTTGATGTACACAAGATACTCAACCATGTGAAGGTACAAAATATTGTTAATATGGCACAAAAGTCAAGTAAACAAAAGCAAACTGGCTCGGGTTAGTGGCATTAATATTCAGCCACTTTAATCAACTCTTGGAGGAAGCACATTTGGCTGCAAATACAGCTGTGAGTCTTCTTGGGTAAATCTCTGTCAGTTTTGTGCATCTGGATTTTGCAGCATTTGCCCCTTCTGCCTGGCAGAACTGCTCCAGCTCTGACAAGTTGGATAGGGACTGTTGGTAAAGAGTAACTTCCATCTTGCCACAGATTCTCAGTCCCACTGAAGTCTGGGCTTTGATTCAGCCATGTGAAGACATTCAGGCTCTTGTTGATTAGTTCAGCTGTGCATTCAGGGTCACTGTCCTTCTGGAAGACAACCCTCCCCTCTGGGCCCCCTGCAGACGCTTGACCGCAGTCCTGACCGGTCTCCCAGGCCCTGCCAAGGAAAAGCTTCCCTGCACCATGGTGCTGCCCCCACTATGGGGATGAGCCCTCCCAGCCAGGTCCCATGCATCACATTTGGCCACAAGGCCCAGAAGTTCAATTCTGGCCTCATCAGACCAGAGGACCTTGTTCCACATGTTTGCTGTGCCTTCCACCTGGCTTTCTGCAAAATTCAGACAGGATTTAATACAGGTGTTTTTCAGTCATGGCTTTCTTCATGCCACTTGTCCACAAAGCCCAGATTTGTGGAATGTCTGGGTGATAGTTGTCCCATGGATGGCTTTTCCCATCTCAGCTGCAGATCTCGCCAGTTCCTTTAGAGTTCCCACAGGCCTTTTGGTTGCTCCTCTGATTCATGCTGTCCTTACCAGGTCACTCACATTTGGTGAATGGCCTTCCGTAGGCAGCTGTCATTACTGAGCCATTTTTTCCCATTTTGTAATAATGAATTTAACATGTTAATTAATTTAACGTTAAATGAACATTATCTCTCGGGAGATGTTCATAGATTGGGGTTTTTTTTAATTTTTTATTTGGCAACCCAACCTTGATTGGTGCTTCAGCACAACTTTATCCTGGAGTTGTTTTGACAGTTCCCTGGTCTTATGAGCTTCTTCTGTAGAGAGGCTTTCCAACAAACTCCAGGGCCATCCAGAAGCAGATCATTTGGCCCTGGGATTGCACATTCCAGGGAAGCACAAGGAACCCATCTGTGGGCGGGGATCGGTCTTATTCCTTGGGCTCAGCTCCCCAGACTCGGATCCACTGTGCAGGAGACCTGAGTCCAAGTTCTTGGTAAACATGCCCCACATTTGCGGGATACTTGCCAGGAATCAAGCCCCACATGCTATTTGCAATTTTCCTTTTTTTGTGCCTGACACTGCCACCACTAGCTGCACCAAGTGGGGAAGAGGACAGGTCACCAGGAATGACACCCGGTGCAGACACTCACGACGCTCCTCTTCTACATCTTGATGGGGTAGGTTGCCAGCTGTATAACCAGGAATCCACAAGCATTGACAGACATAGAGACCTGTTCTCCCCTGCAGAGGAAGGCAGGATGCACTCCAACAGAGCCAAGCTCAAGGAACCAACGTTCAGTTTGGATGCCAAGAAGTACTCCCTGACAGTTAGGACCCCAGGGCATGAAATGGGCTTCCGTGGGAGGTGGTTGAGGCCCCATTGGTGAGGCTGTTCAAGGATATGCTGGACATGCACATGGTAGGTATGTCATGAGCGGAGCTGGCTGGAGCCAGGGGTCAGACTAGATGTCCCCTTCTGACTTGCTTGCTATGTTTCTTGGCTCAGCTAGTTTTGCAGGACCAGACTGAGCACAAGAGCAAGTCTGAAAATGCTAGAGCGATGAATTTTGTTCAGCTACTGACTACATAATTCTTGTAGTCAAAGAGGGTGAATACTTCGGCAAGGCACTGTACTCAAACATATGTGCAGAAGTATTGATCTCCAGTACTCTTGGATCTCTAGGCAGTTCCACAATACATGGATTAAATCTGTGCCCACCTTCCTGCATTTCAGCCATCATTCTCATCCCATTTCGTAGGGAATCTTGGCAAAATCCCTTAGCCCCTTTCCTGGGAGGCAGAAGAAAAATATTTACCTAGCACGCAGAGTCTGTCTGCATCCATGGCTTGGGAATTGGCTCTGACTAGGGGAGAGGTTCTGTTCCCAGTGCAGCCCCAAGTCCAGGGCCTCTTTTATCCTCACATAAACAGATGGAGACAATTCACTTGTATGGTGAGGAGGGAATCAAAGGGGTGCTGGTATGAAAGTGGGGATGCTGGAGGAATTTGATCTTTGCTGATTCTCATGCAGACTGGTCTGATCTGCACCTCCCAGTAGGGAAGTGCACAGAATCTGCTCATGGAGGTCAGAATCCAGCAGATTAACCCGGAATAACCCCCCTGATTCCAGCCCATTGACCCAGAGCCGATGCTCATGCACTTTGCTTGAGTTGAACCTGCACAAGGTCATTCCCTTTTAGAGCAGTCCACAATCTGCATTTTTAGGCATATAAATTTGGGTAAAATATGGCCACAATTCGCAGCCATATTTTGCACAAAGCACGCACATTTTGCTTCTTTAAATTGTGACCTACTTTAAAAGTGAAGCCACAACCCACACCCAGAGCCCATTCAGCTGCTTCTGGCTCCCAAGTCAGCAAGGCATACCAACATCCTTGAAGCACAAGCAGGTCAGGTTCTTCGGCATCACCTAGGCACACGTGCAGAGTGAAATGTTATTAGACCTTCAGTTCTCAGTCTTCTAAGAATTTTTTGTTGCAATTCCCTTTCCAAAAATCTACCAAAGTGCGGACATATTTTTTGGATAAAATATATTTAGAAATATGTACTTTGTGAGAAAATACACTCAAACTATGTATCTTAAATCTACATATTTCTACAAACTCCATCTATGTAGGAGTTTGCTACACCCTTCTGCTGTGTTGCAGTAGCTGTGAATGCAAACTCAGGACTAAATAAAGACATCCTGTGGCTAATTAGGAGACAAAACAGTGGCACCTAGTGGCTATACTCAGAATGACAGCCAAACTTTCCCTAGCCAAAACCTATCCTAGATCATCAGCCTAATTTATACCTACGCCTTTGCCTAACTTTGAATCTGGCTTTGCACAACCTGGCAGCCAAACACCAATAACAGCCGACAGCTGGTTGTCATGAGTAGCTTTTTTACACCACCCATGATAGGCTGCTGTAGGACTTGTTTTCCTTACAGTCACCATGTTGACTGTACCCAGACAATCCATCCCACCCTTGGAAGTGACCCACAAACATCCACTCACTCAGCAGGAAAAGACCAGCCTTTGCTGCTTTGCCAGAACAAGCCACACCACAAGCATCCAAGTAGCATCTGGGGGTGGCAGGAACTCGCTTCCCCCTCTCTGCTGCATTGTCAAACTCTTTTGGCTTCCCAGGGCTTTTCTGCCCTTTTCAATCCCATTTTGCCCTCCAGAGATCAGGATCAACCTCTTGACATTAATTTAGGCAGCTTGCAGTTCCTCTTTCAAAGTGCCACAATGGCCTGCCCTGTTGTTGTTTTAATATGATTATTAACTATGCACTACCAGAAACATGGGCACAATTTTCTGCACACTTTTTGAAAGAATTTCCCTCCCATCTTCTCAAATAGGCTCAGAAGCCCTTGGGGAAACATGTCAGACCATTGCGGGGGGGGGGGTGGCTTGAAGGGGTTCCCACTACCCAGGCCAGCAGGTCCCTTTCCTGCAAAACGCCCAGCACGGGCTGCAAGCCTCTCCTCTCCCCACCCTGATTTCTCTTGCCATGTCGATTGGGCAAGAGCAACCTAAGCTCTGAGGGGATCTTCTGTAGAAGAGGCATATTTGGAAGGAGTCTCCCCTTTCTCTGCATGACCCTCCACTTTTCAAGTTCTCCCTGCTCCTTGAGGAAGCCACTTTTGCACTTTTTCCTGAGCCTCTAGTGCTGGAGAAGGACTAAGATTGTGATCCCCCCCCCCCCCACACACACACTGTTAACAGGAAAAACAAGTTGTCAGTTCAGTGATAGCTCCTGTCAAGACTCCTGTCCCCTTAACATTGGGTTTTGAGGGGAATTTGGACTGGGACATAGTCAGAGGCACAAAAGTACACATGTGTCCAATTCCCTCTCACACCTCCCATTGTAAAGGGACTGTGGGTTTTGGCAGGGTTTGTCACTGCACAGACAATGCAGGTTCCCTTTAGAAAGAAGCGAGACACACTTCAGCCATTTCCCATTCCCTAGAGGGTTGAGGAAAAATGCAGAAATGACTGCCCCTTGGATACAACTGGGGTGGGACTTTGAAAAGGGGGAGACCTTGGAGAGGAGAGGAGGAAATCCCTCCAGGTGCTTCCTCCTTAGAGAAAGATCCCTGGCAGCTTGGCAATCAGAAATGTTAAAAGCACTTTGCTAGGCACACTGCAGGGAAGGTGCCTGCGGCCCCTGGGAGCATGAGTGCCCCCAAAAGGGGCCCCAGCAGAACTTAAAATTCTCTCATTAACACTTCCCTTTGTGCAAATGGGCTACACATTAAAAGAAGTCACTTTATTATCACATTTCTAGGCACACCATTTAAAAATAAAGTACTGGACAGGCTGGAAACTCCTCCAAGATGCCACTGTGGTGCTTTAAAGGGAGAGCTGCTAGCTACCAAAATGGTGGTTGAGAAGCTGAAAACAGAAGGACGGCAAAGTCCCAGGAGTTTTGCTCAGCTCAGTTCTGCAGCTGCAAGAGAAAGGGACCTCTTTCTTCTTGTGGTGTCCCCTGGGATACCACCTGGAGGATCAAGCGGGGAGAGAGAAATGCAAAGCAACCCTGACGATCCAGATAGTCTGTCAAATTCATCATGGGTGCTTCTCAGTACAACAAGCCCCTCATGGGGAATCACCAGGATGTGTGTGTGTGTACGGATGCATGTGTGCATGCATATGTGGATGGGTTTGTTTCCTTCCCCAAGAGCAGCATTTTGGTCCCATCTGTCTTGATCAATTATGCAGCAGGGACGTCCTTTTCAACAAGAGCCCCTTGTCAAATATTGATGGCACAAGTGTGTCTTGAAAAGCGGCATGTGCCTGGATGACAGGTTTAAAGCAGCTGCAGCATCCCATTAGCATTCCATGGGGGAGGGAAGACAGTGCTCTGGTATTAAGAGAACTAGAGGCTTCTCCGAGCCCCTGCAAACTGACCAGAAGCACAGAGCTGCTTCTCTGGGTATCTAAGCTCAAGTGTTTTGCAGTTTTCCCCATTAACTGTTTGCCAGATCAGGATTCTGCTGCAACCTTGTAAGCCACCTTGGATTCCTTGGAAGGACAAACAAGGTAAGGGTATAAATGTAAGCAAATAATCATTCTAGCAGCTGCTGTGATAATTAAAAGATAAATCCAAGCTGACCAGAAAGAGAGGGGCAACCTCATGAGGTGCCACCATCCAGACAGTGCAGAAGGTGGAATGCTTGTGAACATTCCGAGATGAAGTCCTCAAGCAACAGAGTCAACTGCATGCCCCCAGCACCACCACCACCTACCCTCTGCTCATCAGAGCAGAAGATAGGCAGATGGGGCTGATGATTATAGCCCCATTTCTCCCCTCCATGCACTGAAGACGAATCTTCTAAACAGTGCTAATAGCACAGCCGTTCAGTCAATAGCTACAATACCTGCAGGAGTGAGAGACTAAAATCCTGCAGCTGTTACGCACTGCCAATCGTATCTCCAATTATAATCTTTAAATGCATGTACTTCACAAAGCTGTAAAGCTTGAGATCAAATATCAACGTTTAAAAATTAAAATTGCAAGAATGTCACCTTTTAATCTCTCCCTGGTACACATCATGTCATAATCCACTGTTGTACTCCTGCACTTTTCCCAAAACTGTTGTATGTCTCCAACTGTTGTATGTCTCCAACTGTTGAAGCGTTTCTGCTTAAGAAACGTGACTGCAAATCACTTGGAGACATAATGCTCACGCTGTGTGTCTGAAGCTAAACTGGATGTATGTGAAGCTAATTATTTTTGTACGATAATTACCTTTTATAAAATCATTACCAACTGCCTTGGGAGAGCTTTGCCCTGAAAGGTGGCATACAAGTACATTAAACAAATCACTGATGCCCTCAGGGTGGGGAACGTGTGATTTTGCAGATGTTGTTGGACTACTGCTTCCATTATCTCTGCTCATTGGTCACGCTGGCTGGGGCTGATGGGAATGGGACTTCAGCCACCCATCTGGAGGGTCACGGGTTCTACACTCCTGGTGCAGGCTTACTGAGGAGGGTTTGCTGACTTTGTTTTCAGTGGCTCCCTTTGCTGATTCTTTGTGGGTAGGGAGGCTCCAGAGCACACGCAGAGTGTCCCAAAGGTTCTCTCTTCTATTTCATGAAGGACATGGCTATGAAAGCACAAATGGGGCACGTGCCTGGAGTGACCTCTGCCATTAACATAAATGGAGGCGCACATGCACACTCATGTGCTGAGTGTGCACTGGGGGTGTACAGCTTTCAGGCTGGAGAGGGTTATGATTGTTACAGGTTTTGCATTTCCAGTTAGCGTTTCATCATGACTACAGCCCTCCAGTCTTTCCTGATCAATTGCAACCCATCTGCAACCTAGCCATGCTTCTATGTAGCGGGAATTACATCTAATGCTCTTTGCTTATTAACAGTGAATCTCATCTGGCATGCTTTTCTTCCACTGACCCAGTTTGGACAGATCTCTCAGGAGCTCTGCTTTTGACAGCCTTCTTTGGAGTTGTTCACTGGGTTTTGTTTGTTATATTCAGAATACTTTATCATGTGCCCATGTTGCCGTGTCAGTCTTCGCCCTTGCCTCCTGGTTGCTTGTGAATGAATTAGAAATCCCCCTTCCCTCCCTGTCTCCCTCTCTGACTTTTTTCTGGCCACTGTTTGGCACAGAAGGAAGCGTCACCGGAGCCTGCTGCACAGACAGTCTTGTGAACGCGAGGCCAGATTTGTCTTCAGAGAAGCAAGGCGTCCATATACCACCGGAGGACCCTGCAGGGAAGGAGAAGCTGGCCAAGGAGTATGTATCAGTACTGCGTTAGGGTGAAGGATGGCAAGGCAGTGGCCAATAGAAAGGGAAGAAGCAAGCTCAGATCTGAATGAAGTGGGCAAGAAGTACACATTTTGTACCGCTTCTCATGTTTAAGCAGATGCATTTTTCTCCAGATTTTCCTGTAAGAAGAAAAGGCCCTTGACTAGCCCTCCAGATCTGTGGATTACAATTCCCATCATTCCCCAGTCAACTACAGACTGGCTGGGGAGTTAGGAGACTTGTCATCCGGCACCTCTGAAGGGCACTGGGTTCTGGGGACTACCTTAGACTCTGGGCTGTGTTGAATGTTTGCTTGTTTTGGGCTAGGGAATTGATCTTGGTGTTCCCCAGCTACCAAACACCAAAAGTCCATCCTGAGAACATTGCTTCTTTTGCAACCATCTACAGACATTGTTTCTCTGTTCTGTCTCTGCTTCTAATATTTTTGTCATTTTGTTTTTTCCCTTGAGATTGGCCCCCTTCTGCCTTCCTTGTGTGATCACCAGCTGGTGAAGTCACACCACTGTGTAGCGAATATGGGGCATCACCACGTGAAGCTGATTCTGGGTAGATACACACATTTGCTGTATCTGGGAACATCAAAGGAATCTGCTGTGGACTCCAGTGAGTTTGGATTTCTAAGAATCTGACTGTAGATTCTTCAGCAGAACAGCTTTTTCCAAGTCATGCAGATTCTGTTGACCTATTGACATTTCTAAAATTTTATTATGTTATGCAAATTTTTTCATAGGAAAATATGGAAAAAATCTGATCCAAAATGTGCATTTCACCCATAGGCTACCATATACATATGGTAGGGGCGGGGGGGATATGGGAGAATCTAGTATTTCTCAGGGGTATGAATACGCCCAAGTACAAATTTCCTCAATTACATACAATCATGGAGGGGCTGCTGTGGGAAAAAATGCTAAGAGTCCACTTCCCCCAGCACAGTTGGTCCAGCTTAAAACCTTTCCCTATTTTCCTAAAGTAAAGGAACAACAAATTACAACCATTCTCTCAAAAATATAGCATTTTACACTACATTTGCATTTATAGTATATTATATATTAGATACTTCTATCTAAATAATATATAATATAGCATTTGCATGGAAGACAGGGACAGTGTGTAGTTCATGAGTAGATCAGGATCCCTCTGCAAAGAAAAGAAGAGCAAATCCACAGTTCCTGCTTTGCAAGCGTCCTGTTTGGCTGGATAGGGCAGAATGTAACTATGTTGACACAAGTTCAAGGAAATGGGCACAACATTGGTGGAGGGCAGATAGCTTATTTTGCAAGGGCGATTTATCTCTTAACGTAGGAATAAAATTAATAACGCTTAAAGAAAGGAAGAGTTTCTCCCCTTGTCCTTTTTTTCCCTAAAGAAAAAAAGAGGAAGCACATAAGAAAAGCTTTCCTGGATCAGACCAAAGGCCAATCTAGTCCAGCACTCCATACACACAGTGGCAAACCAGCTGCCCACAGGATCCTTTGTGCAGGATAGGTGCAAGACGGCTGCCTGCCCGAGCTCCTCGGCAACTGGTGTATGCAGGGAGGCCACTTCTGGTAAAGGAGATAGCAGAAACCCAAGAAGGCTAGTACCCTCTGATAACCTCTCATGAATCTGTCCAATCCCAGATTGGTGGCCATCACCTCTTCCCATGGCAGCAAATTCCATAATGTATATGCTGTGTGAAGGAATCCTTCCTTTTATCTGTCCTAAACTTCCCACCAATCATGGGTTCAAGTGTTATGGGAGAGGGAGAAAAATGTTTCTGTCTCTACTTTCTCCACATCATGGGTGGGAGGAAAAAAATATTGAGCCTTTAATTCATAAGAAGGTGCTCAGAACGTTCAGTATTTATATGGCAAAATCTGACAAATGACATGCAGTAGTAATGTGAACCAATTCTGGGATGCTTCCATTCACACATTTATCTGAAAGTGAAAATAGGTTCAGGGGTTCTGCTCAGATTAAGACAGGGTTCAGCATCTTGTTGGCACTTCAGATATTTTTAGCTGCGTTCATGGCCCATGGTTCATGGCAGCTAGACTGGCTGCGACAGATGGGAGTTGAAGGTCAGCCCATCTCAAGGGCCTCAGGTTGCCCAGCCTTGGATTAAGGTCATCTGCATGTGCAAATGAGCCACATCACAGGCCGAGATGCCTCAGATGCCAGAACTTTTCATACCGCCTCTGATGCCATGCAAGTAGCTGCCAGTTCTGAAAGCAATTTTTTAAAAGATCAAAGGACACACTTGCATGTGCATGTATGTGCGTGCGTGTCAGTCGGCTCTGCCTGTTGTCAGTTTCCCTGGGTGGACCTTGGGATTATGAAGTCTCCCTGTGACTTCAATTAGTTCTCCTTTCAGCTTCGATTAGTTCATTTGCAATCAAACGAGTCAAAGGGAAATTGCAACTGCTTCACTCAAACCAGAGCTTTAATTGAAACCAAAAGCCACATTCTTTTGTGCTGTGGTGGGTAACTAGAATAAAGGTGGTCCTAGAGAAGAAAGGCACATGAGCTAAATGCAGCCTTGACTTGAGGCCCTGATCCCTCCCCTCTTAGGAGTGCGCAAAGAAGCAAATTTTTGTACTAGATACTCTCATTTGCTGAACTCAATATGAAGTTCATCTGTATCTGTTTGCTCTTTTTTCTTCATTCAACCAGAGTAAGTGTACATCTTGATGGGGGAGAATGAACATTTTTAATACAATGAAAATGCACACTTTCTGTCCACAGAGTAAAGTATGAAATGCATTTCCCCCCCTTCATCATGAACACAAGTTTGGGATTGTTTACTACTTTCCAAGAGAGTCCTCTCCTTGTTCACCTTTAGGGCTGTGGATCATCTTGGCATGATTTGCAAGCATAAACAAAAAGGTTATATGCATCTTGCCTGTATCTCCATGCTCAGAAATGTGCATACCCTTACAGCAAATACGCAGGATCTTCATGCCCTTTTCATTGTTTGCAGACAGGCACGGCAGGAACTAGTGACCAACGGAAGTCATGGTTTATACTGAGGTGGGGGGATTAGCTCCCATATTAATCAATGAGCAAGTGTAAGTAATGTATATAATTTGTGCAGTCCTTCGGTATTTCGGAAAGACCTCCCAGCATCCTTGAGATATTGTGGTGGCCCCGCTCTCCACAGGTCTGTCCTGAAGGCCTCTATTGTGGTTGCAGAAACATGGAGGTTTCCTCTGCTGGTTTCCAAAGTCTTCCCACCCACACGACCCATACACCTGTATCCAGTGTACTTACTTTCCCTTCAGCTGATTGCTTCTGAGCATAGCCACTACCTGGTCCTGCATCATTTTCATCTCTAGGGCATCCTTTTAGGAATAGGGAGGGCAGCCAGAACAGAGCACCGAAATGGGCACTGGACTGAGTTAAAAATGAAATCTGAGGGGTGGTAAGCAATGCTGTGAGTAGGCCATCCCAGAATTGCATGTTTAGGGTCATAGAATCTGAGAGGTGGAAGTGTTCATGGGGGACCTCTAATAGACTTCTCGTTCAGTGATGATCCACAGTGCAGGATGCAGCTACGGCACCTAGTGGCCAGCTCCTCTGGAAAAAGCCAGCTCCATTCAGAAACCAACATCAGTCTTTGCTTTCGGTTGCCATTCTGAAATCAGCCCTTTCAGGACATTTTCCTTTTCTGTTCCTTTATAGGTGATTCTCTACTTCAGGCATGGAAGCGCAGACGGGGCTTGTGCCTACCAGATGGAATACCACACGATTGTTTTCTTTCTTTTTAAATGATTGTGTTTTTTTAAGGTTTCATTTGGCTGTTCAAATGTTGGTAATGTTTTTCTTCATTTTTGCTTTTTTGGCCCAAGGCCAATGGTGAGGGTGGGTGGGTGGATCTATTCAATGTTGATTTTGGCATTAGGTCGCAGAGAGCACTGAAAAGTTTTTCTCGGAGCTGAAGAACCCTCTTTTTACACCGGCCTCATTCTCCCAGACAGATAAAGCTGTTAAGCCATGAGCGCTCTCCCACTTTAGACTGCAGGTGGCAGTTCGTATAACTGAAGACCATGCAAAATAATTATTTTCCTATAAAATAATTCTAGAAAGTTAGCTTTTTCTCTGTGTGCAGTGTTCCTCCCCAAACAGTTTCTTTTTTCATGTGCTGTGGGAGAGATCTGAGCCACGGATGAGAAGCTATTCTGCATTAGTGTTTTCATAGCCTTCAGCTGCATCCTGAACTTTCTGTTGCTCCCGCCTATAACCATGGCATAGTATATGCTGGAAGAACCCACAGCTCTTCCTAGCATGCTCCAGAAAGGAAGGAATTGGTCCCCAAATAGGGGAGTCCTTTCTGCTTTTTTTCAAGAGTAAGCCCCCATTAGTAATTATGATTACTCTTCAGGTCTCACTTTTCTCAGTTGTGTAGTACAGGAAGCATCTTCGGTCGTCTCCCTTCCCAAAACTTAACTGCCCATTAGGTGAGGGGAGTCCAGGCAAATGGCAGGCTCTTCCCATCCTTTCTGATACCCCCCAGCCCCCTCTTCCACATCTGGCTGAGCTGCCCTAACTTTGGGAATAGTGCCATACAGCAGTGCCTTCCGAGAGGTGAGCAATGACTTTCCTCCCTTGACAACCACCAACAGGCCTAATTTGTGTGTGCATAACCTCCAATAGTCGCCACACATGAAGAACAGGTAAGCTTGTTTTGGGCGCAACAAGAGCAAGCTCTGTTAAAACTGTAACAGCTGCCTAAAATGGCAGTCTCTCTTTCCTTTTCCTGCTAGACACACTGTCGGTATTTTCGGGGCTGGCCCTCCCATTAAATACACGGAGGCAGTCCCCTCAAGGAGCAGAAGTTGGGAGGGAGTGGCAGCAACCCCTGGAGGCTTGTGGGCCACGTGGCTGCTCCTCTGCCCACTAAGCAAGCCTTCAGTTGTGGTGGAGGAGCGATGTGACTGCCCCCCAGTCTGCTTTTGTATGAGGAGTGGGAAGGGTATCCCCTTGTTCTTCACCCCAGGCAGCAAAATGTCCCCAGCCATTTATTTGTTTTAAAGGTTTCTCTTACACCGGGGTGGGCAACGTGTGCTCTCCAAATGTTATGGTCTACAGCTACCATCAGCTCTCACCACTGGCTATGCTAGCTAGGGCCAATGGGAGTTTTCAGCCAAACCACTGGGCAGGCAAAAAACAGAGAATTAATGCAGTGCGGCTTAGGTGTGGCGTTAAACAGAGTTGGTCAGTGGCTCCCTTGGTTGTGGCCCTGGCACTTCCCCACCGTTAGCCCACCTCAACTAAAACAGGTAGTTACAACCTGGCTACATATATGAGAGAGATCAGAGATCCAACAACTAGGATTTGCTGTCCATTTTGCATCCTCAAGCTCTGTCCACAGTTTTCTATCTCTAGCTCACCATTCTGGAGTCTGCCCCACCCTGCCCCAACATGCAGGTTAATCCTGCTTCTTTTATTAAGCTGGTTGTCTTAATTTGGCATGTTCCCAAATCAGTGGTGGTTTGTGTAGTGTTGAAGGCGGTGTATGGACAATGCAGCAGTCCAAAAGGCTGTCAAGGGTGAACCTCTTTTCCTTGGTCTACAACGCTGCCTCCACTCTGATCTATAACAGCAGAAACCAGCATCTGTCTCAAATGTTAGGAAGTAAACCACGGAGGCTGCTTATTTCTAAGCAAAGCCAATATGAGCGCAAAGTCTTCTGAAATTAAAGAATCACCTAACAACAAAGGGCTGGTGAGTGTTCCAGCTTCATAGGATAGCTCTCTTGGTGATGAGGCTTCTGCAATTGACAGATTTCTGTTGCTGGAAATAGATTACAATTGCAGGTTGACAGCTTGAAGCTGCATGTTTCCTGGGCATTTTCAAATGCAATTATATGGTTACCAAGGCTGCAGTCCTGTGCACGTTTACCTGTGAGAGAGAGAGACCCACTAAAGACAGTCAAAATTACTTCCAAGGAAGCACATATAAGATTGAGCTGTAAGACCTGTAGCTTGCATATCAGCTTTCCCCTGCCTAACGCCTCCATCCCAGGTGAAGGGTTGGACTTCAGCTCCCATTAGCCCTGGCCAGTAGGGTAAGTGGTCAGGAATCCCAAACCTGGAAGGCACCAGTTTGAGAAAAGTTCTTCTTCTGTGGAAGTAGCATTAGTATAACTTCAGAATCATTGCTGATCCCCTAAAGCAGAGCTGGAGAGTCTGTAGATGTTGTTGAACTATCTCACATGCACACACACCCTGTGTCATTTGCCATCTTAGCTGGGGCTGATGGCAGTTGTAGTGCAACAACAGCTGGATTGACACAGGTTGCCCAACCTTGCCCTCGTAATTTACAGTTTTATGAAATGGTTACTAGAAATTTCTCTCCCTGTCCCAGAGAAGGTTGAGGAATGGAAACTATTGCAGTTAATACCACTTTTAACCTATCTCTAAGTTGCAATCCTATACATGTTTAAATGGGGAGAAACCTCCCTGCATCCCCTAGCCATCATTGTTTGTTTGTTTCATCATGAACAGGTTTGGGCCTCTAGTGCATTTTTACATTGATAGAGGGCTGGGCAAGCCTTGGTCCTCCAGAGGCTGGGTAACCACAGCTGCAATATGCTCTTCTCACTGGCTATGCTGGGTCGAGTGGATGGGATGCGTAGCCCACTAACAACTGTGGGGGGGGGGGGGCACAGATTCCCCACTCCTCCGGTTAAACATTTAAATTGCATTTGGCTTAAAGTACTTGGTTGAAGTGGTTAAATGCAAGGACAATATTACCCTGGTTATTTTGTTTCTGTAAGAATTTACAGCATTCATGCTTGGTGCAAATAAGTGGTGTAGTAGGTAGTGGCTTGTTTGGAAACTGTGTTCAGCAAACACAAAGGTACAGGGGAATGTCCAAGGCAAGCAAAACCAAAGAAGAAGTTGGGGAGCAACCTAGGCATTGGTGCAGTGCAGTGCAGATCCCCAATCCCAATGCGCCTCCCCCTTTCCCTTGGGTTTGCTTCCCAGTGAACATTGTCAGGCTCACTGGTGCTTCGGAGGCCTACTGGAATACGTGTACCATATTGCTCGGCTTCACTGGCCAAACTGGCCCTGGAGATTCAGCTATATAGTGATGCCTGCCTCTGCATTCACAGGGAATCAAGACCACTGTTAGATTTCAGTTTGGTACATGAAGTTCAAATGGTGTCACATTAATCCTCTCCTTTGTGACAGGAGTGTGTGCTTGCAGCTTTATTGAAATCTCCATGGAGGATTAAAAATAAACCTGCCGGAAATTGGTTTCCTGGTCCTAAGCAGCACGAAAAGAGGCAGCAGCATGTCACTGTACCTTTTGCACCAAATAGAATGTGGTGGAGGTGGGAAGTTATTTTGTGTCAACAAGAAGCTTCAGGAGAGGCCTGCGCTTTCATCTCATAACTGTGGACACTCCCTTCAGAGTCTGGAAATGATGGATCTATTCCCCCATCCTTGCATAAGCTTTATCAAGTCTCTGTTCTTCTCTCCACAAATACTATTGCCACTGCAGTTGCCTGCTCCCCTTGGCCACTGTCACATTAAGAATAAACCTGGCCAGCTGTTTGCTAGGAATATCACAGTGAGCTTGGGGTGGCTATTAACTGTGAAGACAGGAGATGGGCCGTGTATCAGCAGTTGTTCCCAGAAACACCCCCTCCACTGTCCCATTCCAGCCACAAGGCACAGCAGTTGGGGTTTTAAAACTCCTTTCTTCCTTTCCCCACCTATCTCTGCTCATGCTTACCACTGCCTCTTGCAAGCAGGGTTGCTTGCAGAATTCAATATTTGTGGATTCGGGTATGTACAGCTTGGACACAAAAATTGGAATGCAGCTGTCGATCAGATTTCTCACTCCGACAAACCTTGAGATATCATCTGTTTAAAAGTGCATCTTTTGAAGAAAAAAATACATTCAAAATATGTCTCTAAGTGCAATGCTTTCTGCATATGTTTTAAACTCATGGTTGAATGTGCAGACTGAACAAACGTAAGAGTGAACGCGTGTGAAAACAGACTGTTCTGTCTATCCCCACCTGCATGGGTCATTATGACCTTTCTGATAAACAAAAAGCAAGACTCAAGTTATTTGTCTCTTTTTCCCTCCTCCTTTTATTTTTATTTTCTTTGTCGCTGTTCATTCCTTTCCTTTTATTATTGGTTAGGTTTATTGTACATGCGCATAATTTAAGAATTCTGCATTGGTGTATGGAGCTGATATAATAAGAATTTGAGATCAAGAAACAGAACAACAAAAAAAGAGTTACTGCATGGTAGAAAAGGTATGTCCGAGGTACAACTACATACAGAGTTCCACGGACCAAATGCTTGGACAAAGGGGTATTTACACTTGTGGGGCCAGGAGTGGGAGGACAAAGAGGCTGGAGATGAGATCAGCAAGTCATTTCTCAGGGTGGGTCACTTGGAAAAAACAACAGAGTCAGAGTGAAGGTAACGCCAATCCTTGACCATTCTTCATCCAGCGTATCAGTCGCAGAGGAAGCATTCAAAACACTGGCCAGGAGAACAGAGCTCAGGGGTACAGAACCTCTTTCAGCCCAAGGGTCAACTTTTATTTTGCAGAAGCTGTTGGGGGGGGGGGGCACATTCCAATGGTGGTCAAGATCAAGATAAGGCATATTTTGGCTTTAAGCTCTTTTGGCCTTTGGCAAAGCCTGGAGAGCCATTTCAATTTAAAAGGGAGGAAAACTGCACCACAGTTGGGACACCTTGGAATTCTTGTGTTTGGGGGGGAAGGGGAATGGCATGGCCTTCTGGGGAACCCTGCTGGGCTAGAATGGGACCCCATGAGGTCTGGGTTTGCCCCCTAGGCCTAAGGTTCTGCACCACTGTCACAGCTGTAGAAGACACGTGGGGCAAATTCTCAGCTATGTTTCCATTCTCAGCAGGAAATGGAAGGCTGGAGAACACAATCATGTGATGACCTAACATGGGGCAGGCAAATGTTCCTGTCATTTGAAGATGTGGAGGGACACATCCTGTTCCATCACAGGCTACAGAATGTTCCACTCTTTCCTCTATATCAGCTTTCCCCAAGCTGGAATTTTCCCAGTTGTGTGGACTCCCAACATCTCTTCTACACCTTCAAGCAGTTTGGAAGTGACTCTCACCCAGGAACCGAACACTGGAGTCTTTCTCTCTTTTGGCTTCCCCAGAGCAATTCAATGCCAATAAGCATAGCCAGATATTACTTTCACACTGGGGTCTTCCTAAAATCTTAACCAATGCAGCTCACTTTCTCTTTTAATCTTGGAGGAATTGACTCAAGCAGCCAAATTTGCAAACACAAGAATGCCCTCCATCCTGCTTGCTGAACGTTCTTGCCCCTACAGCTAAAGAACCATGTAAAAATCAAAACTTGCAATAGCTTTTAAGCTGCTGATTTAATAGACAAACCCATTTTGCCTTTTTCTACAGTTCATCTCATGAAAGACCCTCATCCAGCTTGCAATAGACTTATACCAATCTAGATATTCAGCAAAAGCACTGGGTACATCAAGCCTAGCAGCATATCACTTCCAATGGGAGGAGGGAATTGCATATTCAACCCCCCCCCCCCGTGTGTGTGCATGTATCCTTGCGCTAGACAGATACCTTGAAACACTCCTCCCTGACACCCGAGTTTTTCATGGGATAGAGGAATTTTGGTTGGGGATACATCTGATCACAATTCCCTCAGCTGCATTCCAAAGAGGCATAGTCCTCTTGAGCCTGAAACACGCACTCGTTATGAACCCGTTGCTCAGTACAAGCCAGAATTCCTCAAAGTCATGCCATGTCCTGATACATGCCAAGGGCCTTGTCACAATTAAGGACTACCTGTCCATGCAAAGTCTGGGGCAATGCTGAGGCATCTTGTGCTCACTTTGCCATGTGCCCAGTCTGCTGCTTAACCCTGTGTCAAGACAATACTTGGTGGCTTCTTGGAAGCAAACACCTGCGCCCAGTGCCTCAGCTCTGGCTATTTTCTTGTGCATGAGCAAGCATGCACGGGCAAGAGGAAGCTGGCATCTGGGACTGATGCATGAGCAGCTACAAGCAACAGCAAATGTTTGGAGCCAATGAATCCTGAAAAAACGCATCTCCAGGTTGGAAACAGACTAACCTGGCCCTTTAAGCCAAGGGTAGGCAACCGGGAACCCTCCGGATAATTCAGAGCACAACTCCCCAGATCTTTGACCCCAAGGCTGATGGGAGTTGTAGCCCAGAACATCTGGAGGACACAAGGTCACCTTCCCTGCTCCTTGATCTCAGAATATGTGAGATGTCCCATCTACTTGGCTGATGAAGCTCCTGGCATGTTATGCCACAGCCACGAATCTGTTCTGAACTCCTGCTTCATGCTGAAAGAAAAAGAGGTGCTAGAATCTCTGGAGCTGAAGAGAAAGACAATCTGCATTTGGTTAGAGGTATGTTGTTTAATTATTACTTAACTGAGCCCTAACATTAAAAACCCAAGTGAACCACTGGTTCTGGCTTACATTAAACCCCTGCCCTACAACACCCTCAGGCTCTCCCTGCTGCTGGCTTGCCCTTTCAGAACTCCCTTCACACTCCTAAAAGCTAAGTCTGTGTTGGGCCTGCCCCTACATGTCCTGTTCCCAGTCTCACACACAGGAACACACATGCGCCATCACCAGTGGCACAGAGAGACAGGCTCCCTGGCCAAGCATCACCCACGTCCATGGTGAATGGCACCTGCATTCAGGACCAGAGGACGCACCGTTCAGGGCACTGCCCACCAAAGATACATGGCCTGCAGCCATCCCATTCTGCTCTCCAGAACTACTAGCCGCTACAAGGCCTACTAGCCATTTGACATCTGTATTGCATGTCCCTGGCAGGCAGGCAGGAAGGCAGCTTAGCTCCTCCCCACAAACCATGGCCAGAGGGGTTGCCTGCTGTTTTCCAACAGATCCCCCACATGGTTCCATGCTTGGCAGGAGAAGGCAACAGATAATAGTGCCAGGCACTGCAGGGCAAGGAGGTGGGGAGGTATCCCTTCTTTTCTTTTTTTCAAGCACCCAGCCTTCATAGAAATCTCAGGAGGGATGAGATTTAGCGCACTAGATCTGAGCTGGAGAGGTTAGAGAGACCAACTGTCTAATTTCACAAGATGGGAGGCAGAGTTCAGGGCATCCATTTACCAGGCATGAGGCTAGGCTTGGGTCAGGCCTTGAGAAGACTGCTCAGGAGGTGAACCATGGGTGTAATCTCATTAAGGGGAGGGGAGGGGAGGGGAGGGGAGGGGAGAGGAGAGACTCTGGGGACCTGTTTGGTTCAATCCACTTCTAGGGCTAGCCGGGACCCAGGCTGATCAGGCAGGAGTGAGAATCTCCTCCCTACCAACCTCACTCTGCCCCATCACACCTACCTGCCACACTCATCCAACCCGGAGATTCTTCCTCCACAGTATAATCACACCCTTTTGTTTTAAACCAGCTGTGACCATGGACTTGACAGTCACTTTGTTGGCTTGGCAGTGAAAAGCCTTACCTGGGGGCACAGTTTGGCACATTGAGAGGGGGAGGGATATGGGAGGCTATACAGGCGGTCCTCTCTCTCTTTCTCTCTCTCTCTCTCCCCCTCATTCTCCAACTCGGGGAAGGGGCAGGCAGTGCGTGCTGTGTGATGGTGACATTGTTGACTCATTAACGTTGCTTTTATCATTATTAATATTATTACTAGTAGTATTGATGGTCACATTCATGTCACACCCTTCTCGAGCCGGGGTGGGGGGCTCTGTCCCTCAACGGATGGTGCTGAGTCGATGGTATCGAAGACTTTGGAGTAAATTGCATCGGGCACCTGCTGGATAAAATGGGAACAGAATCAGAAGCAGGCTCAGGGCTGCATGCTGAGTATGTACCTGGGTTGGGGGTGGAAATGCAAATGGCTGCACCTGAAAACCAGAACCTTTAAGATTTGCTTTAGAGCAAGGGTAGGGAAGCCTTTACAACTAAGCCAGTGCAGTGTAGAGGTTAAGAGAGTGGGGCTGGGACTCAGGTGATCCGGGTTCTAGTCCCCACTCAGCCATGAAGCTATGTGGGTGACTGGGCCAGTCATGGACTCGCAGCCCAACCTACCTCACAGGGATATTGTTGTGGGAATAAGATTGAAAGCAGCAGGAGGAGAATGATGTAAGCCACTTTGAGTTATTTAAAGAAAAGAAAAAGGCGGGATATATATCTACTAGATAAATAAACTCAAGGCTCAGGTTGCTACATAAGAAATCTCCCAGGGGCCACAAAACCACAGTGAGTACTGTTAGAGCCCAAAATGAGTGTGGAGGCCATGCTCTCTCACACATTGTTTTCCCTGCCTACCATTTGTCACCCTCCATTCATACCATTCACATACACTCACATACTCATGCACATACAAGCACAGAGGGTACAAACTGCCAGAAAATATCATGACATTACACTTTAATACCACCCATAGCTGAAGCTGTCTAGGTAGTTCACAACTTTTAAGGCATCCATCCAGGTTTCAACTAGGCTCGATCCTGCTTAGCTGCAAAGATTAGGCAAGATCAGGCACTTCAGGCTATAGGGAAATGCCAGCTGCTTTTGGCTTAAAGCTCTTATGGCATTAGAGGGGTGATTCAGCTTGTTTGGAACGTTGCTGGGGGAAACCGGACTGCATACAAGCTGGGAAAACACAGAGCAAGTGGCAGTTGGGGACTTCAGCACGGACCTCTGCAAAACACCAGGGCTCTGGTTTGGCACCCCAGGCCTGAGGTTCAATACCTCTGAGAGAGACAAAGGGAGATCAGAGGTAGACGTTGCAGGGACCCAAACCCATGCCAAAGTAAATGTCCTGGCCACCACAAAATGGCTGCCATGGGAGGTGTGGCAAAGAACAAGCACCCTTCCCAAAAGACTGGGTGCAGACCAGAGGTGGAATCTGAACCACAAGCACTAACAAGTCCTTTTACCCTGTTTTTCAAGCAGCAACAGAAGCTGATTTCACATCAGTCCCAGCGGCAGGCAAGCAATGTATGGCTCTACAAAAGAGTGCGCACCAAGAGGGGTGTCCAGGAGTGCACTGGTGTCCATGGGTGCCACGTTGCCTACCTCCGATAGATAGATTCACTGAACCTCACTGTGGTGTGGTGATGAGAGAGCTGGACTGGGGACCTAGGAGATCCAGGTCCTAGTTGCCACTCAGCAATGAACCTCACTAGGTGACTTTGGGCCAGTCATCCATTTTCAGCCTAACCTACCTCACAGGGTTGTTGTTCTGAGGATAGAATGGAGCCATGTAAGCTGCCCTGGGTTCCTCACAAGAAAAAAGGCAGGATATAAATGCAATGTCATACTAACAAATGTATTCAAACATAGGAAAATAAATAGGTCACTCCTTTTCATTTGGAGTACAAAAACTGACCAGATGGTAGCTGAGTCCTTCTTTGATGCTTGCTGGTGATGCACCTGAAGGCAGCAGGTTAGCTTAGGGGCTGCAGGCAAGCCACCTGGTACCCAGTACCTCCCCCACCGCACTTCCCTTGAGCCATCACTGCCAACGGTAGGGCCACCCTGACTTTGAAGTCAGGCTCAAGCCAACATCCTGCCCTCCTTTGCTGTGGGGCAGTTCCCAGGGGCAGCATCCAGTGGTGACTTTGCCACATTTGGCTGCAGTGACAGCCCAGGACATTTTGCAGCCTGCAGTGGAGATCCAAAATGTACTGCCCCCACCCCTCTGCCCCTGTCAGGGCCACTGTTTTAAAAAGCCTTGCCCGCCACTAGAAGGCAGCTCCGCACTTCATGATCCTTGCACTCAGCTGCAGGGCAGAGCCAGCCCTGTTCATGAGGAAGCCTGCTGCTTACTCAGAGGATCTGGGCTGTACCACTTAAATGTGGGGGGGGGGTGCTAACATGATAAGATGTGCGTCCATTTTTAGCCCCCCCCCCCCGAAATGCCCAGCATGTGCGGCAGTCCGACATGCTTGGGTATGGTCTCGGACAGGGCTGTTCCTCCCTCCCTCCCTCCCTCCCTCCCTCCTTCCGCACCCTTCAGCTGGTCCACTGGGGGGAACCCTCACCTCGCTCCTGCGTGGGCCATGCTATTCCATGTTGCCGTTCTGATTGTGCTGGTTCTCGGGCGTGCTAGCCTCCTCCTCACATGGCGAGAGCTCATCAATGGAGGTCTGGTTAGTGATTCCTGCAGGAGAGAAGGCAGCCCTTAGAGGCAAGGAAATTGTGGGCGCAGATGCCAAATCCACTGGGCAAGGAGCAGAGAAGGGGCAGGAATGCTGTATCTGCAGTGGCTCACGAAGAGGAAGCCCTCGGAGCGATGTCTGAGGGAAAGGGGGAGCCATAAGCTTTATAGAGGAGAAAGGAAGAGATGGGTGTGGTGCATTGTAGCAACAGGGTCTTTTCCGTGGTGACTCCCTCGCTGTTTTGAGGGGTCTGTCCATGAGGCAAGATAGAAATTTATTTTAAAATAAATAAAATGATGGATGGTGATGATGGCAGGGATGCACGAAGGTGCTGGTTTTGTCACACACAAGCACAAATGGGAAGAGGAATATGATGACTTCCTGGATGCTGTTTAACTATAACTCCCATCATCACTGGTCATGCTGGCTCCGGATGATGGGAGGTGGATTCCAACATCTCTCCAAAGACCACAGGTTCCCCATGCCTGCTACAAAGAGAGCAAGAGGAAGTTGAATGAGAGGTTTGGACTAATTTTACATAAGTATAATGGAGACCCCAAGCTCTTTCTTTGTATATACAGCTTTGGGAAGAGGCCATACTGAGTGCCATCTTTCTACCAAGTAGACAGGGAGAATTTCTCCAGGGCTGTTAAATTCCCCACTCCCAACATCACCACCCTGCCTGTTTCAACCCATACCGCTGGCTGCTCGCTCCTTCCACTTCTGTTTATTCTCTTGGATGTACTTTGTCCAGGTGGAACGGAAGCTGTTGATGTCAGCGTTGATGTCTCCCAGTTCAGCATGCTCATCCACAGAGGGTTGGCGCCAGTGGGAACTGTGAGCAATGGGATACAGTGTCAGAGCAGTTTGTAAATCCCCAGAAGGGCTGCTGAGGGCAATATGGAACTGTGACGCCATTCTCCTCTCCTCCTGCTATTACCCTTTGCTCGGGTTCCTACTACACTACAGTTACCTTCCAGATCATCCTCAAAGTGCTCTGAGCCAGGGAGATATGATTTTGAGGCCTGCTGCTACATTCAAACACATGCTTTGCACACATCAAGCTGCAGCAGTCAGGTTCATTGAATCAGAACAATCTCTGCCAAAGATTTTACACTTTTATGCACCCATACTGGGGTGGATCATGTTTAATCATGCTTGGGGGAGTCCCATTCAAATCAACAGGGCTTCCTGGGATGTATTCTCCCATCAATTTCAGTGGACCTGGGTGCAACCAACTCTGGATCCAAACCAATAATTACAGAGACGATGCTAGTCAGTTTGACTGGGAGATAAGCAAGAGTGGGGTCTGAGCCCCAACACACTGAATGCCTCCTTTGAACCCAAATTTTTTATCACCCACAGTAACCTATTTTGCAGCCATCTGAGCTGCTGGTAAGACGATGTGTTAACTTTTTGATAAAAGAGTGGAAGGGGTTGGTACCCCTTAATCTTTAGATATAGATGTATTTCTATATCCATTGAGAGACAGACATCCAAGAGGGAAATATTGGCCATGTTATAATCATCTCATGAAGAACTCACACCAAGGTCAGTTTGACTATTAAAACTTTGGCTACAAGTCAAAGTTTTAAAACTTTGGCTACAGCAAAGTAACATAGTAGAGTCTGTCCAGAAATTTATTATTTCAGACTACAGTCAGATTTTGTATTTCTGAATGCGCCTTTAAAAATCCATGTATGGAAAACAGTAGCACATAGGAAAGAAGGGCTAACTTTCTGTATGCAGGGAGTTTGAGCTTTAAAAAAACCAGACAACCAAACAAGGAATCAGACTTCCAAATTAAAATTTACACACCCCACCCTGCATATGGACATGTAAAGCTTGGATCCAGAAGTTCTTTTCTGTGTGAGAAAAGGCTCTGCTCACAGAAGGTCTGTCCACTTGGGGGGACTCCTCCTGCCCACACCACAGCTCACCCCACTCAGCAGTGCTTCCTGACACCCGGTGGAGCATTTTCAAGGAGCTGGAGCTGCTGCTGTGGGAAGAAGGCGGCAGGAAAGTGCATGACTGCCAGTGCAATGGATTCAGTGAAAATCTGGACTCAACCAAATGCTTTTGCTACAGCTTCTGTGTGCAGCTTAGTTCAGTGCAAGCTAAAAGTCCTAAGGCAGTGGGACCAGATGGCAGCTCCTGTGAAGTTGATGGCAAAGGAAAAGCAGAGAAGAAGGGAGAAGATCTCCAAGCTGCTCAGAGCAGTGAGCAGAACTGATCCAGAAGACCTCAGTGGATTTACTAGCGCTTATAGAGACTTTGAGAACTGGTCTTGCCGGTCTCCCTGCAATGCCTCCCTGACAACTCCAGATCCAGTAAACTGTTCCTCATCTTGGCCCTCTGTGAAGTTCAACAGCAACCACACTGCACAGCTTGTCAAAGGGTTCCTTCCTTCTGCATCCCCCAGGGGTCCCAAGCTGACTTTTCAAGGCTCCTTAGATGGCCCCACCCCCTTCCCTCAACTGCTTATCGTTATGGGGTCTGGTTGTGCACAGCACTTCCCCCATTCTAACAGGCTGAAATCTCTCTCCTAAGTCTCAAGGAAGAGCTTTAATCTAAAATACACTGGCCTTTGGTCCCACCCTCCCCCTGGAATGCATACAGCCCTGAGCTTCTCCATGATGGAATTTGAAAGTTGATTGATTGTCCTGGCACAGCCAATCACTGCCCCTCTTTTTTTCTCTTTTTTCTTTACAAATGGCATTTTGCATTATATGTTTTACATTATTTTGGAAGACCCATTTTCCCACTGTGAAGGGAGAAGAGTCTAGTGCTCCTGTTGTTTCGGTTTATCTGCAATGTCCAGTGAAGTAAAGAAGCAGCTGGAAGTCTCGGCCAGGCCTGGAGAGCAGGGTGAGCTGATAATCGCAGAGAGAGTGGGAGAGAGGAAGCAGCACACTTCCTTGCTTAGGAGTGCTGGAGGAGTGCTTCTGCCTCAGGGACCTCCAAGTAAGGTCAGAACTGCACAAAGCGCCTGGAGAGCAAGGGCCCTCCCTGCTGTGCCGCGGCACTTCCCAGCTACAAAGTGGGCCTGCTTATGCAAAGCCTGACTTTGCCCCAGGTGGTGCCACTTGGAGCTTGCCTCCAGGGGGTTCAGGGCCACGGCTGCTCTGTCAGAGCTTGCTTCTTGAAAGGTTCTGTTTGATCTCAAAGACTGGTGTAGGATCCCTTTGCTCCTCCCTCCCTTTGCCAAGCAGGCAATATGCAAGCAAGGAGCTGTTCCTCAGAGCCTGGAACTTGCTCCAGAGACAGAGAAGAGAGTCCTAAAGGGAGCTGGCTGGATGGCTGGCTGCCTGCCTGCCTGCCTGCCTTCAGATCCACAGATCTGCCAGCTCTTCCCCACTGCTTTTAAGGGTCACCTCTCCCAAACGTGTTTATGAAGTTCTAGGTTCTGTAAGGGGGAAAGCATCTCTTCTTCCTCAGCACATGCAGAGCATCCCTGTCTCTTCACCCAGAGTTGCATCGCCTCCTCTAGGACATGAGCAAGCACTGGGTGGGCCAACTGGCATCATGCCCAGAGGGGAAGGACCAGAGCTCTTGGGAAGAACATCGAATATCCTGGGATCAGCCCCACCAGCACCAATACTTGAAAGATCTGATAGCAGGGCTAGGAAAGACCCCTCCCTGCCAGAGATAATTCTGGGCAGATAATGCAGACAAATCTGAGCAACCAGTCTGACCTGTTATAACAGAGCCTTCCCTGGTTGTAATGTTTTCCTCTCTCCCAAAGGAGTGAATGGTGACCATATGGGACAAAGCAGTGGGTACAGTCTGGCCCAAGGCAGGGTTCCCACAGGCTTCCGTCTGAATCCCTGAGAATCAAGCCTATTCCTATCCACAGTGTGTCCACCCACTATAGCTGTGGGGGAGAATCTGTGGCCCCACACTCCCACTCTCATCAACCCCAGCCAGCAAGGCCAGTGCTTGAGGATGATAGGAATCATCGTTCAAGATCCTCTGGAAGGTTGCAGGCAGCCCACCTCTGTGGCATAGCATAACAAAACCTTGGGAAATTCAACTCTAGAAGTCTACACAGCAAAATGCATGAATGGAAAAGCTTCGTAAATGTACTGGTATTCTGCACAGACCACAAAGCAGGGGTGGTGACTAGGTCCTGAAAAGGTCTAGGGTTCAGGCCCACAAGACAAACAATTGCACAATTTGCATATGCTAAGTTACTTATGCCCTAAAGTCTTGTGTCTTTAAAGGATCCCAACTCCTGAGGACATTTGTGAAAAGAGACAGGGGAGAAGGCAGCATTCAATCACAAGAAAAAGCCTCCAGCAGAAGCACTCAATCAGCTGGTGGGGAATAGGAGGTGAAGAACATGCGGGCAAACAGCCAGTTCATCCAGGGGACTCACATGTAACAGAGACCATCAGGGCCCCAGCACCCATATTCTACCAAGTGCTCATGAACAGGAGTGCAGTGAGACAGGTGCCTCCCAGAGATGCAGGGCTCCAAAGGGAAAATGTGCAGCCCCAGCTCTAGCACGTGGCCACCCCCCCTCTCCCCGATACTGCCTCTGCCCTGAACAAGGGGCATTTCTCTGTTGCAGCCTTCTCAATGCACCCCTAAGTCACCCATGGTTGGAGGTGAAAGGCAGGGCAGGGTCCCCCAAATGGATCAGGAGTGAAAAGCAGCCACCAAGAGACAACAAAGTGGCACCAAAGGGACAGTGTGAGCAGCCAGTCCTGCTCTCTGCCCCGATGACCACAGCCATGCACAATCCATCTGCCTCCCATCCCCATATCCACCACCTCCTCCCCCATACCCTGGCTTCTTTTCTTTGGTTACTTTAGCATGTGGAGGAGCAACAGGCAACAGGCACAGAATGCTGGGAACTTGGCACAACCAGGAAGGATGCCAGAAATGGCAGCCTCCCTCCCTATCACTGCATCTCCACGCCAAAGCACCCCTTCTTCCCCGGCAATCTGTGCAAACCTGCTCTGGCTGGGAGGTTTGTTCTTGGAGCCTTCCTCCACCAAGGGGATGACCATCTTCTCCGCTACATCTGTCAGGACTTGAAAAGTGGGTTCCACAATGAAATCGATGAAGCCTGCAGAAGGGAAGGGGCATTAGCTGCAGAGCTGTGGACCCCTCTGCTTCCCCCAAGTGCTGAGGAGCGCCACTGTGAGGGGTGATCTGCAAAGGGTGTGGAGGAGCATTCACACTGGTGGTGGAGAGGAGCAGGACTGGCAGAGAGCTCTGCAAGACCCGGGAGGGCAAGGAAGCATGAGAGAGTCAGGGAGGGCCCCGCCATGGAAGACAGCCCAGTTTTGTGTAACTCACCAATCTGTGACTGGGCCACCAATGTGGACGTGCGATCACACAGCGGGGAGAAGGGCAATCCCAGTTCAGCCTCTTTGTCCCCCTGTAGGAAGTGAGGCAACATCATGACCATGGGTTGGGAGGGGAGATCTGACCAAGGTAAGACTGAAGCCCGGGGTGGGATGCTAGGAGCAATGGTGCTATGAAACACAGATTATAAAATCCGACAGCCGTGGGGGAATCCTGAGGATTTTCACTCTTTTTCAAAAGTCTCTAATTCCTGTGGGGGGTGGGGAATGAAAACAAGGGCCATTTCTTGTTTTTGAAAATACATTTGGCTGGGAAATATCACAGCATGGTTTCCCGTAAAGGTTTGATAGGTGTTTACTTAACAAAACTCTTAGTCCATCCTAGCCTTGCTGGATGGAATCCCAGTCCTACCTCAGCTGAACAAGACAACCTTTGCCAGTCTGATGCCCTCCAGGTTGATGGATTGGTACACTTTATTACCCACTGTTCATTATAAAAGAATCCCAAAGCAGGATACAAAGCCAATAATAGAATCATACAGCATCAATCAAGGAAACATTAAAACTGGAAAACAGGCACACAGATAAATAACAGTTTACAAGAGACAGTGACACAGATTGAATCAAAAGCCTGGGTAATCAAATAGGTCTTTCCTTGGCACTGAAAGCTTGCAGGATCTGGCAGTGACAGTGTATGAGCAGGCGGGAGTCCCACGATCAGGAGCGCTCTTGCCTCAGAATGCTACATATCAGACCTCAGGCAAAGGCTAGATCATTAAGAGGACTTCCCATGAGATTTTAATATTTGGGCAGGTACAAAGGGAGAAGGCCCTCCAAGGGGTATCGAGGTGCTAAGCCATTCAGGGCTTTATATCTCAGCACAAGCACAAGGCTGGTTGGTGCAACAACTCCTTTGGAATGAATGCAATGGGTTCCTGGTATTGTGGCCGGGTTGCTGTCCCAGTTTCCACTAGATGCAGCTTCTTGGCAGGCAGGGCGGGGCAGGGCTCAGAGGCGTGTAAAATGAATTGCAGTCCTCTAACCCTGAGATGGCCCACCATGGCCGGGCTGTAGATAGTGAACCAACACAAGGTGGAAAAAAGGCACTGCTCACTGGGGTGGCTGCTTGTGCATTCCATGGATGGATGGAGGCACCCCCAAGAACCTATGAACCTGCTGCTTCAGAGGAAGCACAAGCACATCCTGGACAGGCAACTGCCCTAATTCCCAGGTGAGGGAACCACCTGCCCACAGTGCCTCCACTTGCCAAGATTTGTATTCCAACACAACTGGAGAGCACCAGGTTGGGGAAGTCTGCTCCAAGGGAATGCTTCTGACAACATATTGTATGCGCCTGATTTCAGAGCCCTGGTACATTGCATTGCATACAGAAGGCAGACACAAACCCATTTCACAGATTTATCTTTCCAAAGGGTGGTAGAGGAAGAGCGGGAGTAGGGAGAATCCTTTCCTGCTAGCAAATATTCTGAAGGGAAGAATAGAAAATTACATGCATTCACCCCATTCCCAAACAGTCAGTAGTGTGTGTATGTGTGTGTGTTGTGCTGGAGTTTCCAGAACTGAACACAGACGCTGCCTGAAGATGTAGCGATCAGACCACAGATCTCAGCAGACATACCTGTCGGAAAAACTCCTCCATCAGGGCCTTGGTCCATCGGGAGTGTACTGTCCATTGTTTGGTAGGGTGGCTGATATCAGCTGCATGCAGAAGCAAGGACAGCGCTTTGGACTTGTCAATCCTGAAAAGGCAGCAACATGGAGACTGTGAGAACGGGGATGGATCTTCTGTCTCTGCCTTCACAAATCTACCAGTATTGGCACACAATGCATCCACCCTTCATAGGAACACAAGGAACCGCCCTAAGCTGAGCCACAAGTTGATTGGAGCATACGAACCTATCGCATAAGGAGTCAGAGCTTCAGCCCACCTAGGCTAATAGAGTCTAACTGCAGTTTTCCAAGCTGGCAGGCAAATTTTTTTCCCAGCCCTACCCACAGATGGATGCCAAGGATCCGCTCTTCCCCTTGGTATACACCTGAATTACGGGCGATGAAGCGAGCTGGGAGACGGCTAGAGCGTAGGTGGAGGAAATCACGGGATGAATCTGACCGAACACACTTGAGAGCCCACTATCGGGCCTATGCTGTGGCGGTGAAGGCGGCGAAAAAGAAGTTTTTTTCCGCTTCCATTGCCTCCTCACAATGCCGTCCAGCGGAGCTTTTTCGAGTGGTGCAAGGCCTGGTTCGCCTGGGTCCTAAGGAAGATCCGATGCCACCCTCAAAGGCCCGCTGTGATGACTTTGCCAGGCATTTCAGGGAGAAAATCGCTCAGATTCGTCACGAGCTGGACTCCACTAATGAATCAGAGGTCTCTGAGGAGTCGCCAATGCCACCGTCTGGTCCAAAATTACTGGAGAAATTTCAATTATTGCGGCCCAATGATGTGGACAAGGTGCTTGGAAGAGTACGTCCCACCACTTGCCTATTGGATCCTTGCCCGTCTTGGTTAATAAATAACTCCAAGCACGGGATTGGGACCTGGATCTTGGAAGTGGTTAACGCTTCTCGAGTGCCTGCCCCTTTAAAGGAGGCGGTAATACGACCGGTCCTGAAGAAAGCGTCACTGGATCCAGAGATGGCCACTAACTATAGACCTGTGGCCAACATCCCGTTTCTGGGCAAGGTGTTGGAGCGAGTGGTGGCGGGACAACTCCAAGCACTCTTGGATGAAACTGATTATCTGGATCCTTTTCAGTCCGGCTTCAGACCCGGGTACAGTACTGAATCTGCCTTGGTCGCCCTGTACGACGACCTGTGCAGGGAGAAGGACAGGGGGAGTACATCCCTGTTGGTTCTTCTGGACCTCTCGGCGGCTTTCGATACCATCGACCATGGCATCCTTCTGGATAGACTTGCGGGATTGGGGGTTGGAGGCACTGCTTTACAGTGGTTCCGCTCCTATCTCGACGGTCGATTCCAGAAGGTAGTGCTGGGGGACCATGTCTCTACGTCATGGCAGCTATGCCATGGGGTACCACAGGGCTCCATTCTATCCCCTCTGCTATTTAACATCTATATGAAACCGCTGGGAGAGGTCATCAGGAGGTGTGGGCTGCGGAATCATCAATACGCTGATGATACCCAGCTTTACCTCTCATTCTCCACTAATCCAGGTGAGGCAGTGGCTGTGCTGAACCGGTGCTTGGCCGAGGTAAGGGAATGGATGAGGGCCAATAAACTGAAACTCAACCCAGACAAGACGGAGGTCCTGTTGGTTGGCGGATCGGGCTTCGGAGAGGGTGGATTTGACCTGGTCCTGAATGGTGCAACACTCCCTCTTAGGGACAAGGTCCGCAGCTTGGGAGCACTCCTCGACCCGGAGCTCTCTTTGGAAGCTCAGGTGACAGCGGTAGCGAGGAATGCCTTCCTTCAGCTTCGGCTGATTAATCAGCTGCGCCCCTACCTGGAGTACGACTGCCTGGCGACGGTGACACACGCGCTGGTGACTTCCCGCCTAGACTTCTGTAACGCGCTTTACGTGGGGCTTCCCCTGAAGACAGTCCGAACACTTCAATTGGTGCAAAATAGAGCTGCCAGGTTGCTGACGGGGACGGGGCGTTATGCTCACATGACTCCAGTCCTCCGTCAGCTTCACTGGCTTCCCATTGAAGCCCGGGCCCAATTCAAGGTGTTGATTATGACCTACAAAGCCCTAAACGGCTTGGGTCCTGGCTACCTGAACGAGCGCTTACGTCCGTATATGCCCGACCGCCCTTTGAGATCTGCGGGAGAGTCCCTTCTCTGGGAACCCTCCATGAAAGAAATTAGGCGAGTAAGTACCCAGAGGAGGGCTTTCTCTGCGGTGGCGCCCCACCTATGGAATTCACTCCCCAAAGAGGTCCGCCTGGCACCGTCGTTACTGGTTTTTCGGCGCCAGGTAAAGACCTTTTTATTTAAACATCATTTCAATTGTTAAAACATATGATCTGGCCTGGGCAACTTCTTCTTCCTTCTCCTTCTCCTCCTATATTTTTATTTTATACTGATAATTTTAATTTTGTATTTGTAAATCAATGTATTTTTTTGTATTTTTATTTTTAATGGTAATTTATTATGTACTATTGTATTTCAATGTATTTTATCATGTTGTAAGCCGCCCCGAGGTTTCGGCAAGGGGCGGCATGGAAATGTTATAATAATAATAATAATAATAATAATAATAATAATAATAATAATAATAATGCTCTGTTATGCGAAGCACATTCTCTGCCACAGAGCTCTGGCCCCACACAGTGGGCCCATTCTCAGCACACCCATCACCGATATGGTTTAGGAAAGCACTTTGGCACACATGCGCAAAACCACTCTCTTGGGATGGGCACACCCAGCCTGCTAGTGAGCAGGTCACCTGATACCACAGGTGCAATATAACGGCGAGAGTGTCGGACTGGGTTTCCATGAGCAAAACGGGAGGACAACCAGGTCCCTTTTTACGAGGCAATGGGTGGGGATTCTGCATGGATGCTTTGTGTCCCTGTACAAAGTTATGAGTGTGTTCATGGCCATGTGCATAGGCCTTGCATATGTGGATGCAGCCCACCCAGCATCACACGTGGCCCCCGAGCCATAGAGGTTACACACCACTCAGCTAAGATCGTGATGGTCACCCTCACCAACAGAACTGGAGGGCAGTGTGGGCAAAGAAAGGAGATGGCACTGAGGAGATCAATCTCAAAACACCACCAATTATTCCTGCATCCACAGAGGCCTGGTGCCGACTCACTATCCCTGGCCTGCAGGACCAGAATTTTTTTGGAATCTCAGGACAAATGTGGGATCAAGTCCCCCAAGCTTTATCATGCCTCCTCCCATTTCTGGGAGGAGAATCCCACTTCTGTTGCATGTCCCTCTGAGTGCTAAGCCTGTTTCCCCTTTACAAGCCCAAACTGTGTTAGCTCAGCCCTCCTGCCCATTTCTGTGCACAGTCTTTTAGACTGCCAGCTCCCCACTCCTCTGGGCACTTACCGCTCAAGCTGCTGTAGGGACGTTTTCATGGATTTGACTTGCTGGAAGTGGCAGGACATGTCTGTAGCTAGAACCATTTCGATCACAAGCGACCGGAGCTCCCTGTCCCACATGAAGAAAGAGAAAGGGAGGTTCTACTCTCTCTCACACACAATCATTTTTCAGTATGTTTCCACTTCTAGCACAATTCTTTCCTCACGTCCCTTCCAGAAACAGTGAGAAATCCCCCTTCTGGGTTGCTTGAAAAGAAAAGGAAGATTCTGTCCATTTGCCTACAGGTAAGAGCTAGATTGGAGCTTGGCTGCTGCCGGCATCTTGCACAGTCTTTGAAAAAGATGTATTCCATTCCAAAATGAAACAAACAACAAAGATCCCCAAGTGGCAGGTAATATCATTGCCATGATAGCCTTCAAAATTACCTCTAATAATGACAATGATCTCTTTTAACCTGCCTTCCTCAGAATCTCAAAAGACATTGCAAACGTCTTCATGTCAATTCTGTACATCTTACTGAGTTCAGTAGGACTTACCCCCAGGAAGTGGGTATAGGATTACAGCCTGAGACCCAAACAAATGCCCTTACCGCTACTTGATTAAGAGGTAATTTATTCTCTTATAGCCAATTTTGCCACCGGGGAACACTTACTAACTTCAATCCTCCCAGCAAGGACACAGCCACTTAAATACATTTAACAGGAGGAGCCTGCCAACTTCCATCCCATTTTTTTGTCGCTGCTGTTCTGCTGATGAATGAATCCAATAGGAAATAATCATTGTAGCTACTTTGCCCTGATCATCTGCACTTGGAGGAGAATTCTGTAGCACCTCAAACCTTATTTCCTCAATTCCACATTAGATAGCGTGTGCTTCCAGACAGAGGGTTCCCAGCATTACCCAGCCAAAGGCATTGTGCAGCTATATTCTGACTTTTATTTCTTAACACATCTCTCATGGAAGAAAGAAGGACGGACAGATGGATGGAAGGGACAGAAGGAAGGAAAGAAGGAGGGAGGGAGGGAAGACAAAGTGGAGAAATAATGGGAGGGTTATGAATTAAAAACCTCTGGATCTGCTATAAAATTATATACATTAAGCAGGGCAACTGTATGAGAAAAGGCCTTTCCATGTAATGAGAAGCTGTTGATTTAAAAAACAGTGTTGGAGATGAGTTAGAGAGAGAGCAGACACTCTGGCTGTAGTGTGCACACCTCTTCTGCTTTTACTCATCAACCCACAGTTGGCTCATGCTGAGTGTGAGATCTGAACCCAGACTGCTGGATTGTTTAGGGGCTAAATGACACAGTGGTTAGCCCAACAGCAAACCATGGTTTAACCACTGAGTTATTTAGCACCTAAGGCAGGCAAACCAGGTCATACAGGCTTATCCAAACAATTATGTGTCTATGAAGCATCCAGCTACCTTATTTTAGCATTTCTAAGACTGTGCATGCAAGTCCTGATCCAACATGAACACTTATGGATTCCCACTCAACATGTACAGAAGGGGAAGAGTTCTGCAGCTGGGTTTCTCCAGATCCTTTGTTCAAACTCACATGCTTCAGTAAATTATAAGGCCGCCACTCAGAGGGGAATTCTCAAGGAAGCTGAAAGTACATGGAGCTGGCCTACAGGAAAATCAGGTGACTTGTCACTTTAAGGCATTTATTTATTTAATTTATATATTGCCCAATAGCTAAAGCTCTCTACCTGTGACCCACTCAGTAAACCTGCAAAGGAATCTCAGGGGTGGGTCAGCAATATTAGGCCAGGAAAGACAGAATGACCTCATCTAGCATACTGTATCCAGTTCTGGGCACCACAGTTTAAGAAAGATGCAGACAAGCTGGAAAGGGTTCAGAGGAGGACAACATGGATGATTCAGGACTGAAGGCAAAGCCCTATGAGGAGGAATGAAGAGAACTTGGCATGTTCAGCCTCGAGAAGAGGCGACTGAGGGGGGATATAATAGCACTCTACAAGTACCTGAAAAGCTGTCACAAAGAGGAAGGACAAGATCTTTTCTCACTCATCCCAGAGTGTAGGACATTGGGCAAAGAACTAAAGTTGGAACAAACCAGATTTAGGCTAGATATCGGGGGGGAGGGGGGGGCTCTCTGTCAGAGCAATACAACAGTGTAACCATTTGCCTAGAGAGGTGGTCAGCTCTCCCACACTAGAGACATTTAAAAAGAAACTGGACAGCCATCTGAGTGCAATGGTGTAAATTGGTGTCCTGCACCAGCAGGGGGATTGGGTCCGATGGCCTTCATGGCCCCTTCCAACTCTACTATTTTATGATTCTATGAAACTTTCAGCCAGGTGCAGCAGAAGGCTAAGGTTTTATTTGAAGTGGCAGAAAGAGTGAGAGAAAGGGGGACCATTCTGTCAGAAAGAGAAAGAACCATTTAAGGAGAAAATTGAGGCTTGAAATCAAGAGGATCTGCAAAGCAAGCACTGTAAATAGTTCAGTGATGAAATCTGGAGATGCCCAGCCCACTGTGACTTCTGCCATTTAAGCTAAAAGTCTCACCGCAAATTTCAAGACTCCCTGCATTTCCTTGTTTTATAAATGTGTGATGCTTCCTGAACCATTTCAGGGCTGTTGGGTATTGAAAGGTATATAAATATTTTAAATAAATAAATTTCTCTGTGTGTGCACACGCACATGCACAAATACACACACATGCAGACACATGAAACTGGCAAAGGTGTTTCTCACACTTTGACTTGTCATTAGCCATCTTACTTGCACCGCCTATACAATTCCTTCTCTGAAAGCAGACTCGGGGAGGTCAAAAGTATGAGGGCAGGATATGTGCTACTCAACACGCCACACAACTGAGCTACGCTCATATAACTACAAATTTCTTGCACTAGAAAGCAAGTGGAGAATGTTGCTGGACTATGATGGCTTCCATAACATTTGGAAGGCCACAGGTTTCCTACCCCTGCTACTCACGGATTGTCTGGAAAGGCCTTCATGGTTTGGGAGACTGCGGGGTTTGAGGGGAAGGGTTATGAATTTTTCAGATCTGCAGTCCAAATAAACAAAGCCCAGGAATGATTTTGCTGCTTCATCTGTTGTTGGTATGAACTTTGCTGGAGATCCATTCACTACTGCTATATAAACAACTGACATATTCTGGAATTCCAGGTGGCCAGACAATTTCTGTCATCTCCTTTAATAAATATATGAGACACAGAGACCAAAAGTGAGCCAGTGAGTTGTCTGGAAGCAGTTGATGCTTTACAGTTGGGATGGGGGATGTGTGGCCCTCCAAAAGCTATTGAGCTGCAACCATCATCTCACCCTATTGACCATGGGAGCTGCAGCCCACCAACATCTGGAAGGCCCTCCTGATATGACATATTTGAAGCTAAGTAGAGCAGACCCGTGGCCCTGATCAGTCTTCAGTGGGAGCCCCAAGCAGGCATGCCTGAACTTAAATGAAGTACTTCAGGCTGGAAACCTGAACCAAATTACCAGAGCAGCCTTCCCAAACTTGGGGCCCTCCAGATGCCTTCAACATCAGCCCCTGACAGCATGGTCAACGGTCAGGACTGCTGTGCACTGTAACCATTTAGGTCGTACTAAGTTGCAGAAGGCTATACTTGGAAGTAAACCCCACTGAACTTCGCAGGACTTTTTTCCAAGTAACTAGGGCCGTACATTAAGGTGGAATTAATGCCCCATTTCCCCATGTGAGCTGAGCTCACAGTTTACAAACAGTTTGCCTGGTTCTTCCTCCACTGCCTGGGTCCAGCCTCACCACTCCATCCCAGGACATTGTCTTCAGCTGCTAGGGTGAACGCTATCATTTCTTTGAGGGGAAGGACATGGACAGGGGGTGGACAAGGCCTCACGCAAATTCATCCTTGGTCAAGTTGATGAGGATGTTCATCTCCTCTTCCTGCATCATACGGAAGACGGCACTGATATGATGGTTCTCCAGCACTGAGCGGTCGTTGTACAAAATGGCTGTGTCTGACCTGCGAGGAAGGAAATGCTCCAGTTCAGAGGCAATGTTAGCAATGCTGACTGCAAAGGCGTGTCTGGGCAGCCTGGGTGCGGGATGCATCTCTCCCCTCCAACGTGGAACTGTAGGCAGCGGGATCAGCAAAGAATTGCCTATGGCAGCCTCTCCAAACTCCAGCTCCCCCAGTGGTTTTGCACAAGTTCCTTAATCCCTGAGCACTGGCCAAACTGGCTGGGGAGGATGGGAGTTACAGTCCAAGAACATCTGTAACCCAAGGCTGATCTAAGACATCTCCCTTCTTTTATCAGCCAAGAAACAGTGTTCTTGGAGGAAAGGAAGAAGAGACTAGACTAAACTAAGAGTGAAGAGAGCTGGGCCACAGCTCTCTTCACTGGGAAAGAGCTGGGAAATACTGTTTGGAAGGTTTGAAGCGTACGGTTTGATAATTCAGGACAACAACCTGGGCCTTATTCTAATGAAGAGAGCTGAGATTCTGGACATATTCAAAACAGTAGGAACATAGCAAGCTGCCTTCTTTGGGCCAGAATGTTTGCCCAGAGCAGCCAGGGCTATTATTCTTGACTTCTTCCCCAAACCCTTTAACCAGAGATAGTAGAGATTGAATGTGCAAGCTTCCAACTGCAAAACCTGTGGCCAACCACTGAGTTACACCCTCTGTACCAGTAAATGGCTCATCACAGCCTTTCCCAATTTGGTGGCCTCCAGATGTTTTGGATTTCCATTCCCCAACGGCATGGCCAGTGCTGGAAGTTGCAGTGCAAAACATACGAAGGGCACCAGGCTGGAGAAAGCTGACTTATATTCACCCATTAGGCCAATGAGAATGCACACCCCTACCCAGTCTTCACACACAGCCTGGCAGAGCATCATTACTCACTTGGTTTGGATGTGGAAGCTGTTGGTGGTACCTGTGTGCTCATAATCGTGGATTGCAGCTGCAAAGATAATGGCCAGGACCTCAATTTCTGTCAGGCAGTGCTGTGTAGTGGGGAGAGACAGAAGACATCACCAACACATCATACCCTAAATGGGGACATGGGGCTAAGGCATCTGCTCGACATCTGAGCTGGCCCATAAGAGGCCTGTTGCAAAGTCCACCTCCTGAGGGTTGGGATTGGCCAGCAACCTAACAGGGCCTTTAGTGCAACGCCTCCCCACTTGCAGAAGTCCAGGTTAGGCCAGCCTTATTGTTGATATCTTTTAGGCCGGCATGGGCAGAAAACAGCACTCCAGACATTTGGAATGCCTGCATTCCTGACCACCGGCCAAGCTGGAAGAGACTCCTGGGAGCTGAAGTCTTTAAATCCAGAGAACTACCTTCTACACACTCCTACTTCAGACAACTGGGGAAAACAATAACGTCCACCAAACCTGTAACAGTTAATGTTGCTCTCTATTATTTATCACTCATCCCCAGCTTTAAAATACATTTTAGGTGTTTGTATTTTAATCTTTACATTTTTACTGTACATTACCTCAAGCAATCATGGACTGGAGAGGCAACCCTCAAATATTATAAATAAATGAACTGCAAAATAAAGCCAGCCCATGCTTTAAATAAATAAATTTGTCTGTTGGTGTCTTTATTGGGCCACAAGACAACTTTTTTTTCTGCTATAAGAGATCATCCAAGCCACCTGTCTGAAACAGACCATGGTTTGTGAACGATTGCAATGAAGGTAGAACATAGTATACAGCATGCTGTAGGACACAGCTCAGGCTGTTGCTTCCCCCTGGGAGAAAAAAAGGTTGCACTTCTTTTCCACTGCTTTTAGTTGAAAAATTACCTCGATCTCAGACATCCACGTGCTGGAAGAGATATACCTGTTGGGTTTTCTGCCCGTCATAGAATCATAGAATAGTAGAGTTGGAAGGGAAGGGGCCAATAAGCTCCTGAAATCCAACCCCCTGCTCAGTGAAGGACTCCAAGGTAAATCATCCCTGACAGATGGCTGTCCAGCTGCATCTCGACCTCCTCCAATGTGAGAGAGCCCACCACCTCCCTAGATCATTGGATCCTTTGTCATATTGCTCTGACAGTCAAGAATCTTTTCCTGATGACTATCTGGAATCTGCTTCCTATAATTTGAGCCCAGCATTCCATGTCCTGCATTCTGGTGTGGCAGAAAATTGATCCTGACCCTCCTCAGTGTGCCAGCCTTTCAAGTAAAATGCTATCTCATCTCCCCTCATTCTTCTTTTCTCTGGGCTATGCACACTCAGTTCTTTCACTCTCTTCTCACAGGGCTCTGTTTCCGGACCCCGAGCATCCTTGTTGCTTCCCTCTGAACCCCTCCAGCCTGTCTACGTCCTTCCTGAAGCGTGGTGTCCAGGACCGGGTGTAATACTCAAGATGGGGCCTATCTACCACTGAACAGAGGGGTACCAACACCTCGTGCAGTTTGGCAGTTGTGCTTCCATTAATGCAGCTCCATCGCGTAACCTTTAAAGTCACAGAACCCCTATCAGAAATCAGATGTGACAAAAGAAGAGGAGGGGGATTGGTGGGGAGAGAAGGAACTCATTCAGTGAAGCTTTGCTAGCCAAACTCTTTTCTGGCATTGTGCTGATCTGGGGGAGACCACTAGGGGTCACTAAGATATTTAAGTAAATGATTAAAATCAGGATTTTCAGGAATTTCCATAAAGGAGGTTCAGAGGCCAAAAATAATAGGCATCTCTCATTCCTGTGACTGAAATTAGCCCTATGTGGGTTGGCTCAGCCCAGTTTAAAAGCACATGTTTTAATCTAAGTGCACTAGATTAATAACCAAGGCCTCTGCAGAGGTTCCACATCCTGTGGAGACGGAGAGTAAGAGTCTAGCTCTCTTGGTATGCAGCACAAATGCATCTCAGCTATGGGGCTGGCTGATGGAGCATTCCCTGAAGTGGCTAATCCTCATGGTGACCCTTACCACCATGCCAGTGCGAAGCAGGAAGCAGTGTACAGTTTGAGTGACGTCAGCAGCATGTATCTGGTTGTGGTAAGGGTTCTTGTATTTCCCATAGCCGGCCTCCAGCGCGTCCAGGAAGGTCATGAGGTACACCGTGGGGATCTGAGGAAGGATGAAGAGGATAATGCTGCAACAGGCAAGCTTTGGTGATAAGAGTGGCCAAGCAGGGCCAGCCCGACTATTAGGCAAAGCGAGGAAGTTGCTTCAGGCAGCTGTTTGTGGGAGGTGGAGGTAAGATGTGAAAGGAAAGTGCTGCAGGCCACATGGCCTGCATCCCGAGGCTGGTTTTCTGCCCTCAGGTGATGTGGAGGACTCTGTTCCACTGCAGGCATCGCCAGCAACTGCCATCCCAGCCAGCTTGGTGCATGGAACAGAATGGGGCAAAGGACCATTTTGTCCTTTGCCCAAGGAAGCAGCATGTATAGGGCAGGCCCTGTGGCCAAGCTGACTCATGGCCCATCTAGCTCAGCACCAGTGGTGGCTCTCTGGAAGCTCAGAAGGGGGTCTTTCCCAGCCCCACCTAGAGACTCCAGGAACAGGTGGCAGGACTCTCTTCATACAGCATGGGGGGACCGAATGCATTGGCAGTGGTGATGAGCCCAGGGCCCTGCCAAGGCTGTCTGTGCCCCTGCGTGCAAGACCTCCGCAACAGTCCTTCCCACAATGCTCTCTCTCTCTCTCTCTCTCTCTCTCTCTCTCTCTCTCTCTCACACACACACACACACACACACACGTTTCTTACCTTGAAGCGGCTGTTGAGATTGTGGCGGGTAAGCAGCTCAAAGACAATTGTGCGCAAGGCATGGTCTTCACTCACTTTATTCAGCGCGAAAACATCAAAAAACCAGAGGTCAAGAGTCTGCTCAAGGAAACAAACAAACAAAAACAGGGAGGTTCACTCTTGTTTGTTACAGCTATGCAAAAAGAGCTTATACTGGGAAAACGGAAGGAATGATGGCCCTCTTTAATCAGGAAATGCCCTAACAGTAAATTCTCAAAGGTGGATGAGAATAGAGCTGAATAAAAAGGTAAAGGTAAAGGTTTCCCCTTAACATTAAAGTCCAGTCATGCCTGACCCTAGGGGCAGTGCTCATCTCCATTTCCTAGCCAAGGGAGCCGGTGTTCGTCCGCAGACAGCCTCCGTGGACATGTGGCCGGCATGACTAAACACCAAAGTGCACGGAACTCTGTTACCTGCCCATCAAAGTGGTACCTTTTTATCTACTTGCATTTGCATGCTTTCGAACTGCAAGGTTGGCTGGAGCTGGGATGGAGCAACAGGAGGTCATCCCATTGTGCAGATTCAAACCAGCGACCTTTTGATCAACCAGCCCAGCAACACAGCAGTTTAAACCACTGTACCACCTGCATTCCATAGAGCTGAATAGGAGCTAGGAAACCATTTTCCAGGGCCACCCTTTAACCTTGGGTGGTCTGCAATGTGAAAGTCAGAACAAAAAGAGTTCCTCTGAGCATGTGCAAAGTACCTTTCCCCTTTTCAGTGACCACCTACAGCTGGCCCCTACATGTTTTGTAGTCATTGATTCCTAGTCAGAAATATAACTTTCAGGAAAAGTTAAGCTCCTGTTTAGGAGTGGACCAAGGGGAACAATGAGAAAAGCTTGCTTGGCTCATGCAGCTGGGGCTATTCTATACACACTGAACTGAGAGTAAGCCCCATTAAACTCAGTGGGGCTTACATATGAGAAGCTATGCATAGGATTGTTGCACCACGAGTTGGGCATCCCCCTAAGAAGTTGTTACCTTCAAGCAGTTGATGACTGAGGCAGAATAGTTGGGCCCCACAGCCGTGTACGTCCGACGGAACATCCTGCAGGGCAGAGAGCAGCAGGTCAGGCTCCCTTGGAACATCGTGATTATTTATGGATGATATTTATATCCCACCATGTTTTCCTTGTAAGGAACTCAAGGCAGCCTGCCTAATGCTCTTTCTCCTTCTCCTCTCCATCTTATCTACACAACGCAATCCTGTGATTGGCTGAGATTCTGTGATTGGCCCAAAGTCACCCACTTGGCTCCATGACTGAGTGGGGACCACAACCTGGAGCTCCCAGGTCCCCGGTCCTTTGCTTTTAACCACCACCCCACCCTGGCTCTCCAACCAGCTGAAATAATAATACCAAGCAGTCTACTAAATTACTGCTGCTTGGAGGCACCTGCCCAGTCCCCTCAGGCAGATAGCACACCAGCCCTTTTCACATGGGACATCAAATGTCAGGCACATGGGACCTGAGCCCCCTTACCCTCTCTGCTAGGGTCAGCAGTCTTCCATCTTTCAAAGCCCAGGGCTGCCCTTTCCATCCAAACAGCAGCACAGGACTTGCTCTTGATTTGTGTACCCTATATATTAATTTTGCTCATGCAAAATCCACCGTGGCATCTCAACTTCCTCTGGCTTTCTTTTTTCTCTCTGCCCAACCCTGCCCCTCTCCCTTCTTTCTCCTTCCCTCTTCAAAATGCAGCTGGATGCTGATGCTGCTTTTCTGGCTCACAGCCCACCTACTGAACTTGAGGCTGAAGCTGTGAGATGATGGCAGAGCATCCCCCATCCCTCACATTCCAGTCCCAAACCACACCCATCTGGGATAAAGGGACAAAATCCAGACCTCTCCACAAAGATGCCAGCTTGAACAGCATGGACGATGCTGCGGAACTTGGGCTTCTCCTCGGAACGACGCCCCTTGGCCCGCGTCTGCTGGGTGAAAGTGGAAGCCAGCCAGTCCCGCACCTCTGAGGGTACTGCGTCAGACTTGATCTCTTGGAGCTCATCTTCCGTGTCCAGGATCTGCCTGAAACAGGAATGGCACCAGCAGGGAAGTGGTAGGAGATGGAGGGAGACAAACAATAAGCACTGCAGTGTGAAAGGCAGGAGGCAGAACTGCAAACGGCACCAAAAATATGAATATTTTGTTCCATAAATATTTTATAAACTTCCTCGAATAAACCATTCGTTTCTTTAGCCGGTATTAACTTCTCAAATTCAGAACAATGTCTTCAGGGCTTGCACTCAGTTCACATTATACTTGTCCTGGAAATATTAAAAATAAGCTTGTTTGTGTCCACCCATCAATATCAAAATATGCTGATGTGAGGATGCAAACACAAGACAGAGACAGAGCCCAGGCATAGGGGCAAGGGTCTATAACTGTGTCCCTAGTTTCAGCAAGGTCCAAGGATGCTGAGTACTTTATTTCCCAGAATGCCCTTTAGGGGGCATTCCAACTCTTCCTACTGCCCTCATATGGCGTCAGTCTACCCAGGGTCCACCCTCTCAAGGAAGCTTCACATGGATTAGGCTCTGGAAGCTGGCTGGTCCACAGCACTGAACCATTTCTGCCAGTATTCCAGCCACTAAGCCTGACATCATCTCCTTATGACTTACTCTAAGATTCCTCAGACACTCCACTCCTTAAAGTGGGATGGAGAAAGGCACACACAGCTGCCCGAGTCCCATGACCTCACCTGGTCTCATCTATGTAGACAGCTTCCAGCAATGAAGCAGTGTACTCCAAGTTCTTCTTCAGCTCATCAATATTCACGTCTCCTGTCTCCAGCTGTTTCACCATGTACCTCAGCCTGCAAAAAATGGAAATGAACATAAAGAGGGAAATCATGAGGAAAGTGGGAGTGGGGAAGACCCTTCTGGCACAGCAGAAGCTGTCAACACCCTCTGCAAGTAGAAGAAAGATAGCCCTTTCAAAACCCAAACCATGTGCACCAGTGAGAAGGTTCAAACGAAAGTCGATGTGGAGGTGATCCCACTGAGAGCAGTGAAGCACAGAATCATGGGATAGTAGAGCTGGAAGGGGCCAAGGAGGCCATCAGGTCCAACCCCCTGCTGCTGCAGGACTCCAAGTTAAAGCATCCCAACAGGTGGCTCTCCAGCTGCATCTTGAGTGCCTTCGATGTGGAAGAACCCATGACCAGTCCCTGGGACATTGTCTCCATGGTCGTGTTGCTCTAACAGTCAGGAAGATTTCTTGATGTCCAGCCGGAATCAGGCTTCCTGTAACCAGAGCCCATTATTCCATGTCCTGCACTCTGGGACGACAGAGAATTGATCCTGGCCCTCCTCAGTGGGACATTCTTTCAAGTACTTGAAGATGTGGTACCATATCTGACCTCAGCCTTCCCTTCTCCTAGTCCAACCATAAGGACCACTGAGTTTTAAGACTTAGACCAGCAACCAGGAACCTTCCTGTCCAGTGATTAATGGAGACTCCATTCAATGCCCTACTATCCAGACAGGTTATGTTGGTGGGTACTTAAGATGGGGCCTTTGCAGGAGCAGCAGCGTGATCAAGGAACTCCCTCCAGAGAGGGGTTAGATGTGTTCTTTCCTTATGCTGCTTCAGATGAGCAGTAAAGTTTGTTCTGTTCTATGAGGCTTTTAATGTGTGATGTTCCATTGTTCTTGAATGTTAATGCCACTCTTACATTTAATTGACTGGCGGCAGGGATGCTCTTATCTTTCTTGGTCTTATGTAAAATTTTAATGTTTTTTTATGATACATCACCCCAGGCACTTGGTAGGCACAGGCCACAATTTATTGATTTAATAAATGAATGAACTACATGCTACATGCTAATGAGTACAATAAAAAAATCTGATGGTCACTTTTGTTAGAGAAAAGCCATTTTATTTATTTATTTATTTATTTATTTAGCAAGCTTCTATGCCGCCCCATTCGCCGAAGCCTCAGGGTGGCTCACAACAATAAATAAATACATATTAACCATATTATCCATTGGGAGATGGATTCCCTTTGGAGGCAAAAGCAATGAATGGGGGAGGACTGTTTTGGGAATGAAAGAGGCTGTGGTTCTTGGCATGCCTTTCAGGGCCAGGGTGACACGGACTCTTCAGATGGTGAGGGTGAGCCCTGAGAAATGAGGCCTCCAGATAGAGAGATGGAAGAGGCAGAAGAGCTTATCCCAAGCTCCGAGATAAGCCATCTCCTGGTGTTCAGGCAGACCCTGACAATAGCCAGAGTCTGCAACCACCAGAGGAGGGCATGGGACAGGAATCGCAGCAGCCTGGTACAAATTTTGGCCCCATGATGCACTGTTGGGAGACAAGAACTAGACAACTAGAGGGGCTGCGTATAGCTAGGAGGCAGACCTCTCTCCAGAAGGGCCTCCCAGAAGTGTGGGGTCCAGGGTTACTCAAAAGAAGGGAAGCAGTTTCTAGTTCGGGTTCAATGAACCACTCTGAGCATGCTCTGGGACTCCTTCTTTGCTGATTGTGGTTTGCTGGATGTACAGTGGAGAATAAAGAGCTTGTGCCAAAGAACTGTATGTTGTTTTGAAAGGGAGAAGGGCAAAGCTAGCTCCCAACAGACTGTACCCACAAAAGCAGTTGAAAAAGTTGGGTTCAACCCCCTCCCCCAAGAGTTCCACCAACACAAATGTCCATCTCCCAAAGCTGCCTGGCCAACTTATTACAGGAATTTCCACAGGATGTGCCATTCAGTCCAAATTCCATCTCAGTCAGCCCCAGGCTATGCAGAAAACCAGCCTGAGGTTGACTGGGAAAATGTGCATCAGCCAGAAGCTGACACATGTTCTCAATCACCTTGTGGCATGTTAAGCCCTTAGTAGAGGTTGTCTCGGTGGCCTCCCCCTCCCACAAAAGAACCCAAGCAGAACAACTGTTTCAAACACAGAAGCAGGGTCAACAGGAGGGTTAAGCAAACTTCTTGTTGGTCCAAATGGCAGGACAAGAACCAAAGACTTGAAATGAGAGTTTTCTGCTAAGAGCTATTTGATGGTATAACAAACTCCCTTGGAAGGAGTAGCTGCTCCATCTCTTACAGACCCATCTCTTACAAATGTTTTCTTACAAGATTTCTGCCCAAAATTGGGAGAAGGGGACCAGATGACTCCTTAGACCACTTCCAGCTCTAAAATTCTATGCTCCTATATGAAACAGACAACAGCTTATCTTATTCAGCCACCTCTAATGCTCCTCAAGCCTGCAGGTAGCCTTGGTGATGTCTTGAGGGATATCAGACAAAATTTCAGCATATGTGCCTCTACTTAGCTCTGCGAAAGGGAGCGGGGCTGCAGGGAGGTCAAGAAGCTTCCTGAAACTAATGTGCCCACATTGGTCTGGTGATGTTCTCTGAAATCAGTGGGGTCCAGTTTGCTTGCTGATCTGAGCCACTCTCCACTTCACAGGAGCTGAGTCTAAGTGGAATTTGGAAAATGACCGAGTTTTCAAAATGGCACTAAATTCTTCACTGCATCCTGTCTGACTGGAGCAAAATCGTGCATTCAGTTCTCATCTCTCCAAGACTGGTGACTTTTTGTTCTGTCATTATAAAATACACAAAATGTATACAACTGCGGCTGTGTACTTGCTTCTGTACATTGGTTGTGCTTCACTCCCCCTGCACTGAACCTACCTGTACTGCAGGGGGCGCTCCTACATTGGGAACCTGGCAAGACCAACAAACATGTGAGTCAATGTGTATCTGGCCATCTGCTAGAACACTGCTAGTTTAAAAACAGGCCTTCCAGCTCAGCTGAGTGTTTGGTCCATAACATTTCAATTCCGATTAATCAGCCCTGTTGTAACACGTGAATGACAAAACAGACAAACACCAAACATCTTCTGACAAATCAGATGCAGAAGTCATCAGAGCAAGATTATCCTTTCAATGCAAAGGCAAAAACTACTCCCTCTATGCCATTTCCTGAGAGTTAGAACTACAGGTTGAGAGAAAGATAGAGCTGCCACCAAAAATGGAGGCTCTTTATTGGGTATCCCACTCTCTAATGCACAGAACACCACAGACTGGTTGTCCTGACTAGCCCTGGGTGGGTGGGGAATGAAAACATGCAGCATGGTGATCTCAAAGCAAGAGGGCAAGTTGTACTATATATTAAGATCATGGCACAGACCTGCCAGTTTTGGCAACAAAGAATTCTTGCAACACACTGTTCCACCCCCAGACAGAGTATCTTCTCATTAACCATTGAATGAGAAATTATTTACCATACACCTGTTTTCCTTTTCTTGCTTATGATTTCAAAGGCTACATATATTGCAGCTGCTTCCTAATCTAGTTTCCCCATAGTGAAGAATCTCTCTGGAAGGTTTGGATGTGAGAAGTAGATAATTACTGGGACTAACAGACTAGAACAGTTAAGGCTATAGATCACTTGGTGATTAATAAGAGTATTGTGACCAACACAAACTAATAGACTACAAGATGTAATCGGTAGACGTGGCATTAAACTTTTGAACCTAGAATCTAAAGTACGGCTGAGTAATTAGCTAATGTATATTAGTGGTGCCTCCTACTATGACTCAGAGGGTTATTAACATGAACATGGGACGTATGAGCAGGTGGGGGTAACATACCAAGGAGTAGTATGATGAAGGCGGACGGAGAAGAGTGTGAATTCCCAGTATCCCAGCCAATGGGAGAAAGGAGGCAGGGACTTTGCGTGTGAAGTAGGGAATAAAAGGCTGTGTAAACTGCTCCTCCAGTGCACTACCTTTGGGGTGAGTGCCTGGTCTGGCCAGAACGTTTTAAACCTGTTGCTGCTTGGTACTTTGCCTCCCTTATCATCATTGCTTGGATTTCATTCCTCTGATCCATCTATCAGAGCTTGGAGAAGGAAAAGAAGCTGAGCAGACTGGGAGAGCACAAAATACAGACACATGAGCACATGCTACAGTATGTCTGGGCCTTTAATGGAAAAAGACAATGAGATGAAGAGAAAGAGAACACTAAAAGTTTCTGGCAGTTTGTAGGCCAAAATACAAACACAACTTCCATCATCCCTCACCAGCAGCGCCAAAGTGAGGTCTGTTGGCAGTTGTAAGCTAAAACAATTGGAGGGCCACACGTTGCCCAGCCCATTCTAGCAGACAGCTGCTGAACCTAGACATGCTGTGGATGAAATGTCCAGGTTGCTCCCAGGGGTGTCCATCCAGATGTAGGCGTGTCAGTCTGCCTTCAGCAATGCTCCTCTTGTACTTTGCAAAACAAGACCAACATTGCAAAGGTGTTTTCTTATCTAAAGGAAACCAAAATGGGTACCAATTTCCCCTGAAGCATCTCCCTGCCTAGGGATGTGGTAAGCCTCTCACAATAAATATTGTCTGGTCTCCTAATCACTGAGAAACAGGAAACATTCTTTTTCCCTTAAATGTGACCCTAAATGCTTGAGGTAGACATGTTCTCCCACAGGAACCGAAAAGATCAATGAATATAAAGACGCATGCATGCAAACACACACAGAGTCGATTCGAGCCATGGCCCATGGATTCCCATGGATCGAATTCTGCCCTTAAGTCGAGAGAAAGATTTACTGGGCTTAGCCACAAGAAGTTGCTGGGTATATATAATTCTTATATCTTTCCACTGCCTACAAATTAATTTTCAGGTGCCAATTTTGTAATTACCCCAGACTGGACAATACAATGTCAAATGAGATAAAATATTATCCTCTTGCAGAATTGAATTATTGCATGCTTATTGGTTTCCTTTCTTGTTTGCCTACAAAGGTAACTGCCTAGGGAATTGTGGAAGGCTGTGGGTTCCGTTTTATGGAAAGACAGAGCATTGTGCAAACCTACCTTTGATAAGCATTGTATATGGGTACTCTCTCTGAAAATTCAATTAGCTTTTAATAATAAAACAAAAGAATAATACAACAGTACTCATTTTTGCTAGATTAGTCCAAGTTGGCTGAGTTTCAAACAGCAGAGGAATTAAGTAATTTCATTATGACAACAACACAAATAATACGTGCCAAAAACTGGGGAGAACAAAAGATACCATCAGTTAAGGAATGGATAAGAAAACCATGAGATTATGTAATAATACAGATGTGTGTGCGCTTTCCTGTCCAAGGAAGGAGACAACAATTAGATGCTTTTATTTCAAAACTAGCAACCTTCCGTTGTTTATGTGAAGAGAAAATTGAGTGTAAGGTTTGTTAAAAGGTAATGCTTTTTTGTGTGTTATGGAATGATTGAACATTCACTCACCTCACAGAAGAGCATTTTAAAGGCCCTATCAGCATTCATTAAATCTCATCAGATCAAAGGTCCAGTTCCCTTCATCCTTTTTTAGCCCTCGTTCTTTAAGCAAAAAGAAAATGACAGTCACTGTAGACAAACCGGATAAAGAACGGGTGCTTTCACACCAACGGTTCCTAGGGCTACCAATTCCATCTTCTCCTCCATAACAGAATTGCAGGGGTATGGGGAAAAAAAAGACCAAAGCAGGAGCAGACAGAAGAAACGTGAGGTTTACAAGTGCAAGATGCTACCAAATGGAATCTTTCCCAATGCCCTCTGCTGACAATTCTGCAAAAGTCCCAGATGACTACACAATAAAATCTTTCCCTGTAGCCAATACCACTGGGAGCTAACTTTCTAATAATATGCAGGTGTGCTAATATTAAAAATATTTGAATTGTGCAGTGAGGAGGGCTGATCCCATCAACCCCACTATTGGTCATTCAAACATGGCCCCAGCCTCACAAGAGCAGTTGGCCCAGAACAACTGCTGCACAGCCATGGCAACATGTAAAAGGCCCTTCATGTCCCTGGGAATATTTATGCAAATTTCATGCAAATTCCATCTATGTTGGTGTTTAGGGAGAGGGCTTGTTTGCTGAAACGTGCCATGAGGCTGCCTCCCACCCCACCCCACCCCATCCCAGAAACCAACTGCTCCCATGATGATCCTAGAGGGTGGCTTTCCTGTGCCCAAAGGAGTCTGCCTTCCCATCTTCCCATCTCCCTTCCCATCTTCAGGACACTCATATGCCGCAGCTGCTTCCACACTGCCACAGCTTAAGGCTGCTAAACCAGGCCAAGACCTTTCAAGAGCCATGGCCTCAGTTAGGGTGGCAATGCAGCCAACTGGCTTAAAGGTAGCCAAGCTGTTCTAGAAGGCTTCCTGATCCGCTCCTCGTTGGAGCAACATGTGTGCAACTCTGCCTAGTCTTCCAGCCCACTCGGAGCTTTCCATGGTGCTGATCTTTTCCTGCCATGCTGCTCTGACAAGGTGCCAAGCATGACCCCTGAAAAGGATCTGACCCAACCCAGTGCCTTGTGGCTCAGACTACAGAGCAGAGCAATCCTCAAGGCAATCCTCAACACGAAACAGTTCCGAGGAGGGGAAGATTTGAGGCAGAAGCTCCTCCCTCATGGCCTTGTGCACCCCATGTTAGTTCTGCAGAATAGGAGTGCAGCTGTCTGTCTGCTCCTGGAGTTTGTTTGCTTTTATTGATCCTCTCTAATGATGGGAATTAAATGCTTTAATTCCATATCAATATTATCTCTAATGATCCAAAACATTAATCTGGAGTTAAGGTCTCTTCTGATTTGCTACAGTTCGTGTGGGGAAGGGAAGGGAAGGGAAGGGAAGGGAAGGGAAGGGAAGGGAAGGGAAGGGAAGGGAAGGGACAAACTGCACTGTAGAGGTGGTAAAGAGATTTGATAGAAAGAGGCTAAATCAGGGAATGGAAACATATTGTTGCTGGGGTGCCCCACATCATCCCTCATCATTGGCTATGCTGGCCAAGATTGATGAGAGTTATAGTCCATCAAATTTGGAGGGGCACACCTTGCCCTGCCCCTGGTCATGGCTGAGACAGGCAGATACAATTATCCAGTGGGCAATGCTTGGGTGCAGCCGACAGTGCTGCACAAGGAACTGGGGGCTTCAGAGCAACCCCAGAGATGCCACTGCCGAGTTTCTCTGCCACTAGTCACTCCATTTCCCTTGACTCAGTGACAGAACAGTTATGGAGAAGCAAACCCACATGCCCAGAAGCAAGCAAAATGGTGCCCTTGGCCCAGCTCCCAAACCTAGCTCTCTAGAGCAGTGGTGGGCAGAAAGTAGCTCTCGAGATAATTCAGCCTTCAGCCCCTGTGCTTTCTCACCACTGGCCACAAAGGCAGGACTTCTGGCAGTTGCAGTCCAAAATGTCTGGAGATAAATTCTCCACCCATCCCTGTTCTGGTGTGTATGCAAGGGTTGCACGCACAAGTCTGCACATGCACATTAATTATATAGTGCAGAGCCTTGCTTTAAAACATGAAAAAAAGCCGGCCTCACACTAATGTATCCTGGCAATTTCCTCAAGTGCTAGAGAAAACATCTCAGCTATTTCTACCCACCCATTCCCCTGATCAGTTGGCAAACCCAGCGCAACTTGTCCACTGAAAGGTAATTGCATGAAAGGCATAGGAAGCAACTTTGCAACTCCAGATTCTGGTAGCAAATCTCTGCAAAGGAAGTGGCTTGAAATTGGAAACTCAATTCATAGGTAAATGGAGGCAGCCACCAAAGATGGGGACACTTGGGGGGAAGTGGTAGCCACCCACTATTCTTCCTGAGCCCCAAATCTACCACCTTCCCGCCCCCAAGCAGCAGCAACTCCTAAGCTGGTGTCCTGCCATGGGCTAAAGCAAGTGCAGGGATTTAAGAAAAGCAATGAGAAACTTCAGTCAACACACATGGGCATATTTTTCCTTACTCCACCCAACATGGGGGGAGGGGAGCTATAGGGAATGTTACACTCTTGCCTGCTGCATGTGGCGGACCCCACTTGGATCAGCTAAGCTGTATGCATGTAATGCTCTGTGCAGTTCAGTCACAGACTAGGCTGTTGAAAAAGGTACCTAAACAGGCAAGAGGGGCCACCGCTCCATGCCATGAACCCCATCAGACTTCATGCTCTCCTCCCAGGACGCATGTTAGCACCACCATGGCTTCGTTTCGCAGCATTTGCAGGGCCCCAGCTGCACGGAGAAGGCGGCCCCTTTACCAGAACCGAAGTAAGATTAACGCCTGGTCTGCTTTTTGGTTCTGTCTGTGGAAAGGTAGAATGGGGGCATCATATTTTCTTAAGGTAGTAAGATGTCACGGAAAACATAGGAAGCGTTACTGCGATCCCACAGATGAAGCCATGGCTTCCTGTGACACGACCACAAAGACTGCAACCAAGGTGGCACCTGCCCCACAGGGCGCACTAGCCCCTGTGTGATAACCTCCACATCACTGTGGCATGACACATTTCAAGCTGCCTTAACCAAATTTGGACAATGCGGCTCGGGACCCATCAAGCCTGCTTCAGAAGAACGAGCACAGGAGCATTGTTGGCTGAGTTCACAGGAAAATATGGTTCATTGAATCATTTCAAAATGACAGACAGCTGTGTATTTCATTGCATTTATACTGATCGCAGATTGCATATTGTGACCAGCCAGAATGATGAATGATGGGATGTGATTACCAAACCTTACAAATAATTAAAAATTGCATACAGGCAATCGTACCTATATGACTGGAATATCTTGCTGGATGGTGCATAACCATTCACATAATTTTCTCTTCCAAATGGGGGAATTTCAGGGTGTAGGAACCTGCCAAAAAATGCCTAGAGAACAAGTGTTTTGAGGCATTTAATAAATATAATAAATGAACACATAATAAAGTGGCTGGTGTAGGGATATTGTTTCCATTACAAAACACTGACTTCCAAATATAATCTCATTAGAAATTAAGTGATGTTCAATGTTAAAATACCTTTGAGTGCAATCCCATGCACGTTAAGACAAATGCTAGCACATTCTAGCTTAAAGCTCTCACTGCCACTAACGACAAGCCTTTCAACCTTTTAAATGATGAAATAAATATGCTCACATGTTTTGTAACTAGGCCCTGAAAATTATACTGATATTTATATATACTGAGCATATTTATTATACTGATATTTATATATACTGAGCTAGCATTTGTTTCATCTCTTTTGCTTTTGGCTCTGTCCACCCCTGGAATGCAGGCCTGAGAGCTTCTTGAAAAATGTTTCAACAACCTTGGTTATACCATCACCAACTCAGGTTCAGGCATTTGGAATGTTTAAAAAGGTCTCCTTAGTGGTGGCATCCTGGAATGCCCTGCAGCTGGAACCTAGGAAGATACAGTGTCAGACCTTTGGTCCAGCTAGGCCAATATTGCCAACACTGACAGGGCCTCCCCAGGATATCAGGTGGAATTTTTTTCATTGTCACACCTGGAGATACTGGGGACTGAACCTGGGAACTTCTGCATGAAAAGCTGGTGTTCAGCAGGTGTTGTGCCCCTCCGATCTCAGGCACTGATTTTTTCCATCCTTGCTACTTTGACATTTTGCAAAGCCAGAGGTGGAATGTGGGGCTTCATTCAAGGATGTGCTCTAACAGCTGATCTCCCGCTCTACCTGTGAAGGTTAGACTGGCACCAACATTTAATAGCTTTTGGCACTGAGCAAAAATAATTATTGCAAATATTGTGACAGCATTGGGATTACTTTATCATGAAGGGTTGGATATAAAAAACTTCATAAATAGATACAAATTACAAATCTACAGTCTTGACTACAGAAGAAAACAATCCATACTCCGTTTTGCATTTCCTTAGCTGCTAACAAAAGCAATCCTGTTACAAATTTCTGTTTGGTTATACCTATTTCAATATATTGGTTCAAACCATCTCTCCTGCAGATCATGTTTTGCATTCTCTGATATGAAACTTTAAAGGTGCATGTTTAAACAAGAAAAAAAAAATCTTGTAACTCCCAGCTGACTGAGAAATGCTGGGGATTGTATGATTTTTTTTTCTCTTAACATGCATGGGATCGCACTCAAAGGTATTTTAACATCGAACATCACTTAATTTCTAATGAGATTATATTTGGAAGTCCGTGTTTTGTAATGGAAACAATATCCCTACACCAGCCACTTTATTATGTGTTCATGCCTCAAAACACTTGTTCTCTAGGCATTTTATGGCAAGTTCCCACACCCTGAAATTCCCCCATTTGGAAGAGAAAATTACGTGAATGGTTATGCACCATCCAGCAAGATATTCCAGTCATATAGGTACGATTGCCTGTATGCAATTTTTAATTATTTGTAAGGTTTGGTAATCACATCCCATCATTCATCATTCTGGCTGGTCACAATATGCAATCTGCGATCAATATAAATGCAATGAAATACACAGCTGTCTGTCATTTTGAAATGATTCAATGAACCATATTTTCCTGTGAACTCAGCCAACAATGCTCCTGTGCTCGTTCTTCTGAAGCAGGCTTGATGGGTCCCGAGCCACATTGTCCAAATTTGGTTAAGGCAGCTTGAAATGTGTCATGCCACAGTGATGTGGAGGTTATCACACAGGGGCTAGTGCACCCTGTGGGGCAGGTGCCACCTTGGTTGCAGTCTTTGTGGTCGTGTCACAGGAAGCCATGGAGACTAAGACTAACAGCAACAACAACTTAGGCATTGCTCACTGCAGTGATGCAGCAAAGGCAGGGCCTGCAGGTCGCAGCAAAATCCAAACAAGCTCATGATTTGGGTTTTTTTAATTACCAGAGACACCTACCTCATCTCCCATCCCCTCTCCAAATTGCCCGAGTGGTAAGCCTCAGAGCAGCTGGTAGAAAATTAATTTTCACAGCTACAACATATACACAACTTATTTTTGAGTGGCTTAGTCTTGAATGGGTGATTAAGATCCATTAGCTTTACAAAAGGCAAATAATACACCCAGAAAAAGATGGAGCAACAACGCTGCCTGCACTCAGGGATACTCCATGGCAGAGTGGTTATAGGCACTGTCATGATGGGCATTTGTGCTTCAAAATTTGCCCCTACAGCCCTGCCTACTAGCGTTTGGACTCTGCTCAGAGCAAGTTGGAATTTCCAGGGACTGAGCTGCCGCTGCTGCTGCTGCTGCTTTTGGACTAGCTGGCGATTCCTGCGTACTGCTGACTGCAGCTGCTACAAAAACCCCCATCAGCTCTGTTCTTCCCCCTCCTAAAAGAAGAGGGATGTGATACATCCTCCCATGGCTACTGAGATGTTTACACAGACACACACATGCATACTCTCACACTCGACCAGTGCAGGCCATTCCTGCTTTTAACTAAACCAGCTCTTGCCTTATCATCCCCAGAGCACATATGCCAAATGCCACACTGCAGCATTTTTTATTCTGACTGTCTTTCCCCTTTGCCAAGCCAGCTGGCTCTGAGTCACTTCCCAGGCAATTATGGGCTATTACAGAGGGAAGAAAATACGATGCATTCCCTTGGTCAGCTCCCAGACTGAGATATAAGTGAGGAGCCCCTAATGCCATTGCCAGGCCCTGCGAGTGTTAACCAGCACCTGACAATCAGATTAGGGAGTGCAAATTCAATCACAAACCCAAGCTTGTGCATTTGAGCAATCCCTGCCGCCTCCAGCCATATCACACGAATCCGGCTGGAAACAGGTCATGTGGAAGAAGATGAAGGATCTTCACTGCACATAGAGCAACATCCACTGGAAGTGAAGTGTGCAAGACTGATGCCAAAGAGCAAAAGAAAGCAACCCACATGTTCCCCAGAGCACCAAGATGCAGGCTGCAGCCTGCCCTGTAAGATTTACCCCACCCCCTGTATTTCTAAGCTGGAAAAATCATCGGACATTTCAGATTTCTCTTTGGGAGGGCAAGGACAGTGAGGAAAGATGGTCAGCAAGGTGCAGTGGCCCCTTCTTGGCTGGCTCCAAAATTAAACTGCAAATATATCATGGAATGTTAAAAGCACTTTCCAGGGTTACTTCCACGAGAAGTCGTGGAGGCCCCATTGCTGCAGGTGTTCAAGGATAGGCTGGATGTTCACATGGTGGGCATGTCATGAGTTGAGCTGGCTGGTGCCGGAGGTCAGACTAGATGGCCCAGGAGACCCCTTCTGACTCGCTCTGTTTTCTATGTTTCTATGCTTCTGAGTGTCCCATAAGAACTGCTGCAAAGGATTTCAAAGCAGATCAGAGTTCCCCTTTCCCCCACACTTCTTCCTCCTTTTTCTTTCAAGGAAAGTACTTTTGGCATGCACACCTAGTAGTAATCAGCTCTATTCTCATTCTCATGCAGAATAAAAAATTAGCCAGAAATAAGAGGGCCACTTGCAAATTGCCAAAGAAATAAAAGGACCAAGGAGGACCCCTATCTGCCTAAAATAGGAATATGCTAATTTATCCTTACGGGAGCAGATTTGGAATGAAAAACAAAGACAAGCAATTATAAGTTGCACACATTTCCCAATCTGGCTAGCCCAGCCTTCCTCACCCCATTGCCCTCCAAAGGAATTCGATGCAATTCTCACCATGAGGCTCTTCGTGTGCAACCAGGCTCCTAAAACTGTTTGTGTCTAGACTCATAGAGGAAGTTAACCATTCCAGTTAACCAAGGGGAGGAGGAATGCAGGTTATGGGGTGGGCCCCTTGCAATGCAATGCCAGGGGTGGGGGGAATCAATTCTGTGAAATCACAGTAGCAATTTTTATTCACTAGTGAGGTGAAATACGAGTGCAGGGGTCCTCAAACTTTTTCAATAGGGGGCCAGTTGAAAGGTGGTGGCTACACGTGAGGGCCAGTGGGGGGGGGTGCTTGGGCCCACGGCCAGGTGAGGCATCGTCGGGTGCGCGCGAGGTGGCGTTGAGCGTGCGGGGCTGCGACTCACTCGCTCAGAGATCTCCCAGTGAGTTCAAAACCATCTCCAGGAGAGCAAGCCACCAGTGAGCGCGTGTGCGCGGAGGAGGCAGGCGACAGCGGCGGCTTGCTTGTTCGGAGATGGTTTTGAACTTTCTGGGAGATCTCGCAACGAGTCCAAAACCATCTGCAAGTGAGCAAGCCACCGCCTCCCGCCCGCACAGCGAGTGTTCGCACAGCGGGCGGCAATGTGGGCCGGATGAAAGGGTATGGCGGGCTGAATCCCTCCCACCGGCCGTAGTTTGAGGACCCATGTACTTAGACTTAGCATGAGCTGTGCTAACATTCATCATTTGATGACCTGGCTTTACCGAAAACAGTGCCATAGTAGGTTTGTTGACCAGTTGTAAATTCCACTGTAGCTCCAACTTCCTTCTGTTGCAGCTGCTGCGGTGTGCCATCAGGTTGAGTTACAGTGAACCCATGCATGAAAGCCCTCCAGAGTGTCCTGTACTGCTCAGCTCTTGCAAGTTCAGGGCTGTGACTTCCTTGATGGAGTCAATCCATCTCATATTTGGTCTTCCCTTTTATATTCTGCCCTCAACTTTCCCTAGCATGAATGTCTTTTCCAGGGATCTTTTTGCCCAAAGTATGACAGTCTCAGTTCTGTTATTTTTGCTTCTATGGAAAGCTGATCTAGGAACCATGTGTTTCTCTTGGTTCAGGGAATTCACAAAGCTCTCCCCCGCACTGTTTCACATGCTCCCAGTTGCTTCCTGCAGCTTTCTTCTGTCCAGCTTTCACATCCATAGATTGTGACTGGGAATACAATAGCCTGGATGATCTTGACCTTGGTCTCTAGTAAAACTTACACCGACTCCTTTCATTGCTGTCCTTTTCTCAGACTTTTTCTAATTACTTGGCTGAGGCATGTGAAATCTTTCACAGTTTCAATTGCTTCATTATTAACAGTGAAGTTCTGTAATTCTTCTGTGGATGTACTTTTTATTTTCTTGATATTCAGCTGCATTTTTGTTGCTAGTACCACAAAAATCCTAGGGCTTCAACCTAGCACAGAAGGTAGTTCAGGAGCTCACTCCTGGCCTACCTTGACTCAACTTACAACTTTGGGGTTGATTGATATAGATACTGCCTCCAAAT